ATCGAATTAATTGCAATACGTAAAAACGTAAATGAAAGTTTATTTCTTGTTGTTAAGATGGAACGATTTTCATTATTTGAAATCCATTGAAAAGAGATGTCCCTGATTGGTGTAATATTCTAACTACTTTTGTAAGATACACATAAACAGATGGAACAATAAGAAAGCGTAAAGGGTGCAATCAATAACATTTTCTTTGTGCTACTTTATATATTAATCCACGACAAGTTAACTTTCAAGGAATTTTGAAGAAAATCCATTTTCAGAATAATCTAGTAATTGAATGTCTCGAGAGTAATTTTCTATGCACCTTCGAAGGTATTTGTGTGGCGACACCGACTCGAAGAGTGCATTTTTAACTTGAAAACATTTTTAAGGAGGAACTATTTAATAATCCAGGAGTTGGCTAAATTAAAACTAAAGAGTACTGAAAAGCATGCATATACCAAATATCTTTTTGTTCTGAAATTATTGCAATGATCTCATCGGCTGGCAGCTGAAAGGTTCGGTATAAACGCACACTCTAGGTCTGCTAGCTGCTAACTATAGTTAATCTGATCTGAAATTATTAAAGATGACGAAATTTTTAATAACTGTAGCCGCCCATAAGAATAGAATGAAGTTGTGGACTGTTGCTAACCAACCTATTAAATGGTGGAAAGCCAGGTCACCACAATGACGTATTCATGTGGTTCTTGGTAATAATTAAGTAAAGAGGATCCGTGGCATCACTGATCTTTCTTGACTTGTTGCAGATCCGTCCAGAGTTGTGAGAAACCGAGACTTACTTTATTCTCGGAGTTAATTTAGTCTGTCTAATTTCGTCTAAATCATCTGCATTATTTAAATTGTCACTTATTTATATAGTATTTTTTGTATTTTCTTTAAGTAGACACTTCAAGTAGTCTCTTATAGATCAATAAGAATAATATCAGAAAGAATATACTACAGTTGAGCAGTTTGGTTGTCAACGACAACAAGGAACAATTCAACAAGTTCATAGAGTGGAAATATTGATAAAACCACAGTTATCAGCAATAAATGTAGAGTAGTAAATTTCTTTGATGTCTCTTGGGTTATTGATAATAATGTCAAATTTATGTAGAGAGATCGTGACACTACTTTTAACTTGTTCAAGAGTACGCTGTTGGCCTCTGACTGAGGGATATAAAAAAGCTATATAGATTGAGAACCACCATTTTCAATTATCAAGTCCATAATAATAATAATAATACTCTTTAGGTTTCATTACCGTTTTATCTAGTATACATATAGAAGATATTGAAACAAAATAGTCTTGTAATTTTCCTTGCCCTGAACTTTTACTACGACACTTTCGCTACTGTATGATATGAATTGGTATCAACTTTTCTAACGTATATTGTATGTCATTCACAGATTATCTTCGTTCTTGGAGATACACAGGAATCGATGTTAGGCCTACGGCTGTGAAAGCCTACGAACTCATATCTCTTTAGTTAGTTGCAAAATTTGCATTTATATAGTAATAATTGGACCAGTATGCTCTAAACCATTCTTTGTTGTGTTTTGCTAATCAAGGAATACACGCATCACTGACAAATTTGAGAAAATACTACAAAAATATAGATTTGTTCACAAGTTTATAATAGAATAAAAGATACAGAGTTAGTTTGGAATACACACTGCATCTTTTCTGCAATGATAGTTTAAATTCTGTCGGCCAGTATTACCCAAATATCCGACGTTATAAAAGCAGTGAAAAACATTCAAGTTTTAAGACTTAAATTACCTATTTACAGGAATTAATCAATAAACTAACTGATTTTTTAGTAATGATGACAAACGTCGGAACTTGCTTGATTGGCTCTGCATACTTGGCTTGTTGCTTCCAGTGAAAGGATACATTAATCTTTTTGAAAAAGATTTTCAAGAAGATTGATGCAACAAAATGTATTCACTGTAATAAAGAACATGAGCTAGATGTTATGGCTATGGTCGATTTGATATAGTAGATCAAATAAATGTTTATGGAGAAAAATGTTGTTATAGGAAAGTGTAAGTCTTGAAATGATAAGCGCAATGTCATGTTGAAATGGACTATGAAGCAGTACCAGCTTAAGCGAAATTGCTGTTCGTATTTAGTCAGCATCAATCAGCCTTTCAGGTCAACCCTCCAGAAATATAATCATATCACTCTCAGATGATATGGTCGACTACACCACATTGCTAGTGTATGAGACTCTACAATCTCGATATTTTTTCTTTACCCGAAAAAAAAACGAGAAAAGAACTCGGGAGCCTATTTTAAAAGACTTCATTGAGCACCATTCTTTTTCTGTTCTTTACAACTTCAACCATAACAGGTTTTTCATGATTTTTTCTACTTAAATATTGCGTCATCTTCCACTATGGATTCATTATCATATTGCCCATACAAAATTTCGCTTTCTTTTGAGTTGCTTTCAACGTTCGATTTTCTCCAATTTAAGCAGATTTTATTGTGTAAGGCCATATTTTATGCTAAGTAGATTTTTGTCCATGACATCTTTTTGTAAATTTCAAAATTTTAGACTGATAATTTTGTCAGTTTCTTGAGTCTGGTATGTTTTTGGCACATTTTCCTCCCTGGATGGCATTAATGATTTCTTTAATTATATTAAATTGCGCATGTATTTAATAATTATGTCTTATGAGTGGACATTTTCACACATTGTTAAATACGAGAATTCATCAATATTGGTTATATGCACATGATACGTTCTGACACAATGATTCTTAATTGATACAGTCATCACATCAACATTAAAATAACAATATTAATGGTATAAGCTTATATTTTTGCGTATCGTGTTTCCATAAAAAGTACAATAACCAACTTTCTTCTTTTCCAATGCAAGAGAATTCTAATACTTAACAGATTCGAAATTCTGCGGTTAAGTAATAATTCTAATAAATCAATTCCGATGTCTGTAATTCCTTACCAATTGTTCCTGGTTAATTCAAATGACTTCCAATCCTTTCACCTGGTTTCGTTTGACATCTAAATAACTTCTGACATTTCCAAATATGTGTTTATAGCTTGTATTGCTTCCAAATTGCTTTGTACGACTTATAATGACCAACTAACCCAAATGAAAGAGGCAAAACTCTATTCAGCGTCTCGTGTTAATGCAAAAAGCGTGATGAAACCCTAGTCAATCCTCGTGTTTTAAATCTCATATTAACACCTTATCTGATTCATAATACAATTATAAAGAACCACATTGTTATGAATGTGTGCAAAGTTATTTTTATAATTCTACATTATTATCTTCGTTTCATCACATTTATTTTTGATTAATTTAAGCCTTTCCATTCTGATAATTGCAAATTTGAAACCGCATCCTTACGTCAATACAAGAATGTAATAAATTAGTTATTACAACTGGTGTTATATGACAGATTAATAATTCGCATTTATAATGATGAAATACGTTAAAGAATTTTCCGTTTACCACCGGTTTAAGAATGCACGATACGCAATAGTACGCGACGACGGCTTTTATAACTAAAAGAAGTCGACGAATGCATGTCTAGCACGTGCATCAAACCGTCGTCGTGCGTGGAATAGTAAATGGTAGCACCTGGAAAGGCACGTTGTTTTAGAGTGTATGTCTGGTAGTTACTCTGTGGGAGTGGCCCGGTTGATTTTCGCCATTTACAGTGAAGGTGATCTGGTTTTCCTCTTATTTAGTACTTGGCAAAGTCGATCATTATGTTCAAATCCAAGAATTTCCATTCTATTCTACAATTTTTTTTCCGAGTCATAAAATAACAAGAAATGTAATTTATAGTCGTATTAAAATTAGTTTCATCTAAAAGTATAAGCCAGATGTGAAAGTGGAAACGCAAGTTGAACATAATTCAACTTCGATTTAGCAGAGCTTAAGAAAAAAATGTCTTTCTTGTCTAAGTACGTGATCTAAATCAAGTATCGGGCTTATATCGTGTTCGTGAAGGAATTAGATCATCTATCAGCAACCATTTTCAGAGTTCTAAGAGAATGGTTAAGTGCCTTTCTAAATTTTATGGTCCTGCGATCTCTTAAGGACTAAACGATCTGGATTTTACTTGATTGAGCTATTTCCGGTTGTATTTATATTCCTTTCGTGTCAACCATAAATGGAAAACTGCATTTTTTCTGTGATTTTAAAGAACTTCAAACCAGTTTTATAAATAATAACATGAGATGAGCAAATTGGTTCAAATTAACTATTAAATGGAAAACACCTTTCAAGTAACTTTTCATTTAATAATTAACTTAATTACAGTTTTGGAAATTGCTCAAGATCAAAAACTTTCTTTCAAAATCATTCTGTAAATCCTTCACGTTGTTTTATCCTCTGCAGAATTTAAATTATCCCGTTTCGTAACTGAAGAAACAAAGCTTTCTGTTGTATGTTATTTTGAAACTTAGATGTCCTTTTGATAAGTCAATCGTTAGCGAAAAATCTCTTGTTATATCTTGATTGAAACGGTGATGATTATGAGTAATTAAGGTATCTTAATGAGATTCCATATTTTTTTTTACTATTTATTATACTATATAAAAGTATAGACGATTTTCAATATCAAATGAACGCAAGATTAAGATTTCAATTTCAAGATCACATTTTAATTTGACTTTATCGTAGTTTTATAAAAAGTATAAATAAAATCTATTGAATTAAATGTTCGATTTCTCCTCTAAAATGGAATTGTAATGGGAAGGCTAATGTTATAATCGAGTAATTGCTTGCTTTTAAGAAAGTGGTTTGCAAACGAAGGCTTGGTTTGTATGTAATATTTATAAATTATTCTTATTAAAAAAATTTTAAAGACAGCTATTATTATGGTTAATTCACTTCGGAGAAACTTGGATTTAATCGATCATCAAGTTGTGGGTTTACCAAAGTTACGTAACACATTTATAAAAGTAATACGGTAAATAAAAAGAATTATAATGTAGATATATTTTTGTTGAGGAAAAAGTAACTTACGAGTATGTAGAACGTTCTCTTGTAATGGTGATGACGGCGTTTAACGCATTTCACTTTGGCACTCGTCGGATTTTCAATCCTCCAGTTCCTTGGTGAAGTACTTCACGTAAAGGTAGGCTAATAAAACAAGAAGTGTGGCACAAAACGAATATTTCAAATAGATCACAGCCACGTCCAAAACGGATCTTCCTAAACCACGAAGAATCTTGAATATCTCTAATTCTAATTATTTTATGTTCTTTTACAAATATAGTAACCAATCCGGATCTAAATATCTCAGGTACCTTTTTACTTTACGAATTGAAACTGGAGATATCGCGAATAGAGTAACTTTGAGGTACCTGGTACAGTAATAAATATGTTTCCAAACAATTTGGATGTCGCACATCGGTTGATTCTCTTTCTGTGGTGAAACGTCGCCTTCTTTTACACGAAGTTTCACTGGCTGGTTGTTAAAAACTATTGGGAATTTCGCGCGCGCGATTTTCCTCGAAGAGTTTACCACCTGGCGACGACTGCTCCGCGATTTCGAATGGCGGGCACGACCAAAGAGTCTCTCGGTTCGGCTTCGATGCCGAAGGAGCCGGAGGAACGCGTGGTGGCACCAACGACGACGACGACGACGACGACTTTCACGCTCAAGGTCGATACGTACCTGCTGTCAGCAAGTAAAACGAAGGAAATACGGGTGGTCTAAACGTTGTCTTTTCTAATCTCTTCTTCTAAGAACCAACGATGTGTACGAGTTTACGATTGTTGACTAATAACAATGCCATTACTGTTGCTTTTTTACTTGTGGTTAAGATAAGATCCTTTTACTTTCAATTAAAGGTGACAAAGGATTTTCAACAAAGACTACTATTTAATTTGTAAAGATTATTTGATGATTTTGAATTTTTTAACATAATATCATAATCAAATTTTATGATATCTACTAATTTCAGTATTTAACATTTAGTTTATGATGATAATAGTTAATCGTTAATCTTAAATATGAAATAAAAATTTCAAAAAGTTATTCTGTCATTTCTAAAAACAGATTTATTTATTAAAAACCAGACATCTTTATTGGGTATTTGTGAAATTACCACACCAATTTTCCAAGAAATTGATTTTATACAAATTTTTAAAGCAATCGATGGTAATTTTTAACCTTCGATATTAAACAAAAATTTCAATAATTTTATTTATTTCTTCACAACTAAAACTCATATTTCATAATAGGTTTATTTATAAAAAGGCAGACATCTTTATTGAAGAAGAAAAGCAAAGTTTGGTGAGCAAATAATAAATATAAATATTGTGTGAGGTTATTCAACTCCCTATAGTTTTAACGTGCTTAACAGAAATATCAACAAGAAATTTTATGGAGGAATAGGAAGTAGACTTGCTTTTGCTGAGCAAAATGGTAAAGCTTGAATTGTATGCCTAGTTTGTAATTCATTTGAGTCAGTTTTGACGTGGAATTACTTTTTACCAACATGCCGGTAAGAGATGCCATGGAGGGTGTACGACGACAACTCATACTCTAGGGATTGGTAAGATACATATAAAGTTTCGCTTATCATTGACTTATGTAAACTGGAATCATAAAGAAGAATCGTCGTAATCACCAAGTATCGCCATCTTGAATATGGACCTATTAGAAGAAGTATTTCTAGAAACCAGTCTTTAGAAATTACATTTATGGCTACTGTACGTGAATAACACCTTTGCAAGTAGTCATTCATTACATTTATTTTAACCCCTTGGCCAAAAGAAGCTTATAAATTTCCATTTCTATTTCTATTTGGCGAATATTTGCAGCTATTGCCGCTTCTCGCATCTCAATCGCCAGTGGTCCTTATCATTCCAATCATATTTACCAAGTCCTCTCCTCTTCATCTCCACATTGATCCACATTGATTTCCTAGGTCTGCCACTTTTATTTCTTTCTGCTAGCACCCAGTTCCAAACCTTAAATGGGATTCTCTCTTTACTCATTTGGCGTAGATGCCCGCACAATTTTAGTTGCTTTTAATTTATAGTGTCTGTTATTGAGTTTTGTGCCGTCATTCTTCTACTTATTTCCTCATTTTTAACTCGATCCAACATAGTTGCATCTTCCCCAAAACATCATCTCTGCTGCTAGCAGTCTTGGAGAGGTGTCTCTGTCGCTCACACACACATCTCACACACACACCACAAAAAGGGCTATAAAAGCCCCATAGCGAGAGGGTGATAGCACACAAAAGAAAACACAGCCCCTATAGCGCTTTATCCCCTACAAAAACTCCCCACAACACATCTATAGTACCCTCCCCCCCCACATATAAAAACACCAAAAGATACACACAGGGCCACACATGTTATAATACCCCGGTCCAAAAGTATATGCTCTTCCCCGCCCCCAAAAACACCAAATATTGGATCTTATCTTTGTTCATTTCCAAGCCCCATTTATTGTATTCTTCTTTTCTGTTGGGTCGTCTGCGAACAACATGACCCCGAACAACGATCGGGTTGCATTTCCTTTTCCAATATTTTTGGATTGAGTGGATATAGATCTTGAGTATTGTAAAGAATCCTTGTTTGACACCTTTTGTAGGAGAGAAAACATCAATTGTGACTTTTCCAACCTGAACCTCTACCGCGTTGTTTGTATAATGCTTTCAAAGCATGAATGTAAGTTCTGTTGATGCCCGCATCTATCAGGAATATCCATAATTTCTTATAAATTATGTAAATTATTATTAATTTGTTATTTATTTGTTTATAAATTTATAATATTAAAATCCAGTTTGCAACTAACCTTTAGTAGTGAAGGTTATCCAAAAATACTTTTAAAAGATGATAATGACGCTGAAGGAAATGTAAATAATTGCTGTAAAAGCTATTTATTTTTTCTTTATCGCAACAGGAGTAGGTTCTACTAATTTACTTCGGAAAATATTGGGACAAAAAGAAGATTAGTGCATTTCCGTGATTAATTACCCACGGTAAAGAGAGTAACAACTTCAGTGAAGTAACTATCCGATTGTTGTTAAAGATATTTTTTTTATCGCGTAATAAAGCACACAATGCAATAGGTTTAATTGACTTTATTACTAGATACCTCGAGGAGTATTACCAGAAAAGAATAAAAAACTTTGTTACCCAAGAAATGAGGAACCAAGATTGTTAATAAGGTTGTTAAAAAGATCTTCATGAGGAAACAAAAAAAAATTGAATGTATAAAGTTCATAGTGTGACCAACAAAGTCTAATTTCATTAAGTCACTGGAAATCTTGAACTTGTTTTACTGAAAACTTAGTCAATTTTATTTGCATCAAGCAATATTGTTTTATTTTGTAAATATCCAAATTAACAATTGGGGAAAATGTTTATCGTATATTATGTTACAAGCCATTGGTAGTTTCAAAAGCTAAGGAATCTAAAAGCCGTTCCTTGAGGAAGTGGTATAGACCCTTTGAAGCTTAGATCTGATTAATTGTAGAACAACATTAAGTATTAATGTGTAGCTTTCTGCAATTACAAGTTTGATCCTCGGTTTGTTCAAAATAGAAGAGGTGGTATTTTAAGGGTGCATGGCATTTGTTGAGGTATAAAACCCTTCTTTTTGTTTTGCAACGGAGTTATCATACTCTTCGCCTGTCTGTGACCTGGAAGATCTTCCCACTGTAAGGCTACATTTAAGGCCTCTCAACTATTGATTACCTGTGGTAATCTTAAGTGGCTTTTTTAGGTTGGAGTCCAATAAAAGGCGTTTTCGCTTCCTCTGTGGTCGGCTTGTCCGCCTTTTCATTGCCCTTAATGTCTTTGTGACCAGGAACCCACCATAGAGTAGCATCATTGCCCCTTGCGAGTTCTCTCAGGTTGCTGATACACTCTCTGATCAGTGCGGAGTCACACGTGTAGGCCAGAATTTCCTTTAGAACGGCCCGACTGTCCATGAAAATGTTTATCGATGCACCTTTCTGTCTCTTTTCTAAGTTTAAAACGGTGCCGAAGTTTATAGCAATAACTTCTGTATAAGGTTCGTTTTAATTTCAATCAAGTCGTTTAGACATGGGTCCTTGGGGATTTCGAGGTGTCCTCTGAGGTTACCTTGCATTAACTTGCCCGAAGAGCATGTTTTTAGTGATAAGGCACTTAAAGCTGCCTCCTTTTGTATGTATAAATGAAGTCTTGTAGACTGAGTAGGACTTTCAGAGCAGTTATATTAATTGCGCCCGTTATATTAAGACATGATAACCGCTGGATTTGTGCCAGCTGTTGTTGTGCTGTCTGGTGGTTTGTTTTTGACCATCAAACCAGTCAGCAGTGAGTCGCCTGACTATGAGTCTGATTATTGCTACGTAAGCCCAGTTTAAGACCCCAGTTCCTTCCAAGGAGCCTGTGGCAGATATGGTTAGCCATGATGGCCTTTTTCCTCACCTTGACTATGTGAGAGTCCCAGTTTAATTTACTGCCTGGTATTACTCCTAGATATTTGACTTCTGTTTTGAGGTTAATAATTCTGCTTGCAATTGAGGGTGCTCTCAATTGTAGTTTCCTTCTCCGAGTGAAAGGGACTATTTCGACTTTGTTTGGATTAATGCCAAGCCCATTGCTTCTGCACAAAGTGCTGAGGGACAGTTAGGACTCTAGAAGTAGTAAAAGTTAGTTTCGACACGTTAGTTAACTAATGTGTCTCAAAATCTGCCAAATTCATAAGATTAACAAAGTTTTTCTTACTTTTATATTTATATTTACAATTTATTAAAAATATGTTCCTTTTAATTTGATACTCTCAGTTTCAAATTTAAAAAAAAATATGATATATTGTTATTTTTACAAATCATTATGACAAATTAAGTTAGAAAGTTCACAAACATAGCAGAAGGTTCTTTTTTTAAACGTCCTTAATAGCCGTAACGCGTTAATTGGGAACCAAAACCGTTGTCGCCGTCGACTTCTCTTACGTAACAGCAAAGCTATAACGAACATATAAACATACTCGAGACATTTTTGGACTGATATCGACGCCGATAGTTCTTTAGATAGTAGTTTACCGCCGTCCGTCGATTCGTTAATCGGCTCGCCAATTCGTTACGAAACGATTTTATATGGACCGGTTTTCAAAATATAAAATATAACCGCTTCTGAAATGGAACCAACAGAAAAAAATATATATATAAGCGCCATCGATAACGTTGTAAATAATCAATCATTAAAATTTAATTAAAAAAGAATAAAATAAGAAAGGATGATTAAAGCGAATTAAGAGGGGGGATTATGTGGTAGAGATATGCATAAATGTTCAAAAATAAAACGTGAAATGGTATCTGGGGTATGTAAGAATATAGAAAGTGAACGACGATGCGTGTTGTTTTTAATTTTCACTTTCGCCTTCGGCTCTGACTCGGTAATACGACGTCGCGTCGTTAATTACTCTAGATTGATAATTATGATAAGGATTAAAGTGTTAAATGGTCCTTTTTATTTCATATAACTAAGTAGTTGAGTTTTGTTCCAAAAAATAAAAAAAAGCATTAATTAAAAAGAAAAAGTTTTTTTCAGACTTTCAAAAAGTGTTAAGGCATATTTTTGATAAAATATTTTGGAAATTAATCAAAAATTTATTTTATTAAAATAAATCGTTATTACATAATAAATTAAATTTAAAATTATTTCATTAAAAAGCAAAACTCTCTTTATAATTTTATAATAATTCAAATAACCAATATCATCCTGCCATGTATTCTATCTTGTTCTCAATAAAGCGAATATATTTGCCTATACTATACATTATAAATTTAATCTAGAAATCTGTAATATTATAAACAAAAAGTTAAATTTAAATCACTACAATAAATTAATAGTGTCTATTCTAAATAGAATTTAATACAATGCATTTTTCTACTGTTGAAAATTTTCTTCATTGTCATTATTATTATCACTACTTCTTCCAGCTCTCCCTCGTTGATTACTTGGTGGAACTTTATACAAATCATCGTTAATATTATAAAGGCTGGGAACATTGGCACAATCTACATTAAACCACCAATCACAAACTCGTGCAAATTGGTTGAAAATTGTACCATTGGGACAAAGGAAGCTGAACTTTTGACCACTTGGGAGACACCAGTGCCACACCTATTTTACGAAAGCAGTTTTATAATAATTAATACAAAATTAATTAATTCAACTGATTTAAAATTCCATCAATATTTAAATTAATAAATTTCTTTTACCTGACATTGCGCTTCTGGATCGCTATAGTATCCTGGCGGTCTTTGTTCGCATCTAAAGGATAAACCTTGCGGTACTTCGCTGTAAATTGGGTAATCTTGGCCTGGGATGTAACCGTCTAATTGCTGAAAGAAAAGCGGAGTTGTTAAAAGACAATTGTAGCCTCCGGAGATCGAATCATTGCAACTGTTACGTAAAAAGTTTAAATGTGAAGAAAAGTATCGAAAGACTTTTTTAAATCAGTTTAAAGTGAAATCAACTTTTCTGACTTTTTAGACATAGGTTCTAGTTTTTCAAATTTTAATTCATTAGTTTTTTACATAGTTTCAAAATTAAATTATGTGAATATGATAAATCAGAAATGATGAGGGGTTGAATGGAGTCGTTTGCCATCATCTCAAAATTTGTATTCAACACTTTAATTTGCCGATAATTTAGCTCCAACAAATATTCCTTCTTTAATTTTTGTTTATGCAAATTTAGGAAATTAATTTATTAAGTACTAGTCAGGTCTTTACGGTTGAGTGCATTAACGAAGTTCTTGATAAGACCAAGTTTGATGTCAAAGATGGCAAGAAACTACAAAATTTGATGAGTTCAGATTGTCCAGATAGATGTTGTATTCCTGCAATTCTGCCATTTGCTCCAAGACTTGCACATATGCTAGGTCGTAATGCGGAAAATATGATAACCACCATAAGAATACCATGGATGGATGACATGGGACAGAAATAAATATCAATAGATGGGAATGCTATCAAGCAGCACTACGTCTTCATAGACAAATTTGAGAAACAACTAAACAGTTCATTTCTCAATCAACCTAATAGAAAGATTAAATTTTTTGTTACTACAGGTTTATGACAGGTTTTATTAAAAGATATATCTCTCTCTCCGTAGCATTACAACCCGGGGTGGGCCTTTGCTTACTTTTTAATTTGCCTTCACTTGTTGCTGTTCAATATTAGTGCCTCTAATATCGATCGTTCTATATTAGGGTCCGTAGATCCACTGCAAAATCACAGAATAACCAGAAAAGACACTGGGGGTATCCCACCAAAACTTTGTCTATGCGGCGACGCCATGATTTAGAGGGTTGCTATTGGCTGTGCTATTGGCGTGCCTTTGGTTTGCTCAATGATCTGAAAAGATCGAGAGAAGCGAAAAGAGCGACGTTGCCAAATCGTGAGGTCACCCTTTTAAAGATAATTGAATTTCGAGGTCAAAAAATGCGATTTCCCGAATATCAAAGGAACCGACGTCAGTGTCATTTCTGGTTATTCTGTGGCAATATCATCTCCTCAACGTACCCAACGATTTTGATGTGTACTGAAGAAAGCAGTAAGTGTCCTCATTCCATAATAGTTAAGATAATGAGTTACAAAGCAAGGGAATTGGTTTTTAAAATTGGAAATAAGTCACAAATGAATAAGATAGTGATTCAAGAGTATTTAATTTGTGTGGATATAGGCAATGTTGGATATGAGACGAACAAATTTTGGCCAGGGAAAATGGAATGAAACTTCTTATTAGGAACACCGATGATCTAGACAAAGGTGAAGAAGATAGAAATGAAGAAAAATGACTTTATTTTGTTATGGTTAACATAGTGCTTAGTTTGGATTTCGTTATAATGTAGAGTAAAGTTTTAAATTTGGAAATATCATGTTCAAGTAGGAATCAGGTTGGGTTCTAAATATTATTGATTTTGGATTTAGGAAATGATTGAAAGAGTGGGGTTTAACTATGTTTGGATTAGATTTGGATTTTGAAATTGTTAAGTTTAGCTTGAGGGTTAAATTGGCAACCTGAAAATTATTGATTGAATTGGGTTGAAAGTAAATTGAGTTTAAGATTTGCTTTCGAAGTATACATTGTAGGTAGTAATAATGTTAGATTATGTAGAATTAGGAGGGGATGTTGTTGCATTGGGGTTGGAGGTTTGGAAATTATCGATTGGGTGGAAGTTAGATTGAGTTATACTTGATTATTAATATTATCAGATTTGAGGATAAAGTAGAGTCGAATGGGATGATAAAATTATTTTCGAGTCTTGATTGGATTTTAGATTTTTGAAAATATTGTCTTTATGTAGAGATAGGAATTTTTAATTGGTTGACTTGGTGTTTCGAAATATTGGTTTTGGACGAAGACAGACATGAGATGGGTAGAAAGGGATTGGATTATTTTGGATTTCAGAAATTATGAAATAAGCTTGGATTTCAAGTTTTTCCAGTATCTCTATTTTTGACATTATTTGAGTACAAATAATTTTTGCCATTCAGATAGCGAATACCTTCATAACATTACATTTTATGTAAAAGTGATCCAAAGGAAAGCTATGAAACATTCTTTAATCTTAACGTTATTTGCAAGGTCATATGAAGGTGATGATCAATCTTTTAAATGACACTCTATATTTTTGATAGCAAAAACTGAATCTTTGGATGAGTAAAATATTCCACTCTAAAAATAATTTTTTAAGTCTGTGTTTAAGTGTTTAAAGTAAGTTATTAAATCATGGATACTCTAAGTATTGCAGAAAAAGTTAAAATGATTTGTATTTCCGAATGAAGTAGAAAGAAAAGTTGCTGATGAGACAGTTTTCCTGTTAGAAATAAGAATTTCAGAAGTACCTTTTATTCAGGTGTAAGTGATTTCATTAACGCTAGAATTATGGTGGCAAGAACTTAACTAATAACCGTAACTACTGCAGAAAAGGAAATTAATGTATAGTGAGCGTTGCGGTAAATCTTCATGTTAACACACCACTAATTGCTGTTGGTGTTTGAACAAGGAAGGCAAGTACATATATAATTTATATATATACGATTATATCTTTAAAATAAAAAATTGTATTCGAAATAAAAGAATAAAATTTCTTGGAATAATCAAGATGATAAAAATACCAAAATCGTTAAATGTATTTTAGGAGAGAGAAACTATAGATTTAACATATGGTCCGACGTAGTTCTATTTGATTAAGTATTAGAAAGTATTTGAGTTATGGTTTTAAAAGAATGTTGAATAACTTGTAAAACGGAAGTATAATCAGTCATCATCAACAACGCACAGGAAGCTATCTCTGACACATACGCGGTCAAGCTCCATTGTTACTTTGCCCTTTATCCTCAAAACCAGCAAACGGTTTACGATTATGCCAGGATTCACGGTCCGTTGATTCGAACAACGCCAAATTTAGATGTTTTTTTTTGAATCACCAACAGTGTCGCTGGTTCATTGTTTTCAAAAATTGTGAAATTTTGTTACAAACCAAATAATTCCACATATCGTAAAATTCTCGTAATATATAAAATCAAAATTGTTACTCAAGTATTATTTTATCTGGTAATCCTAATCTAAAGTACATTTACCAATTCTAAGTTAATAATAAAGTTTTTAAAGATAATAATCTTATTTCCAAAAAAATACTTACACTGTATATGACGTGTACCAAAAATCCAGCAAGCACAACTAAAAACACACATCGTTTGGTATACATTTTAAGTACATGTAATTTAAATCCCTAAAATTAATAAATTTTTTTCTATTAATTCATGAAGCTTTTTCAAGAAGAAAATCTTTAAGATTTTTAATTGATAAAGAAGTTCTAAGACGATGCACAAACTTTGAATCGCGAAGAAGCAGTGAGTCCCCTAATTGGTTTTGGCGGATTTTATACGGGAGGAAGACGTCGGGATTAGGCAAGATCACTACAGTTTATCGCCACGCAACAACCATAAGCGGTGGTTGGAGAATTTCTTCTTCTTCTCATGACAGGCGTGATTCCACCAAGAGTCGAAAATCCCACGTAATCCGATAGTTGAAAATTTCAAACTGTTAATTGTCGTTACCCAATTATAGGGGAAAGAATTGATTTAGGTTTTCAACGTTTCAAAGTTGTTAAGTAGTTGTTGGTGATCACTTTGGTAATTAATTTTTAAATTTATTTGTGTGCATTTTATATAGATGTTAGATTCAAGGATGTTTTTAGTTTTGTGGAGGAAATGACCTCTTTGGATACGTGATTTACATAAAAGCGTGTTTTAAATAAATTAAACTTATAAAATAATGTTAAACAAAATAATTAACTTTAAAAATAAAAAAAATCAGACTTATAATAGTATAAGTGGGCTATAAAAAAGTATAACATAAGTTTCATTAAATAACATAATAGCTTCCACGCTAGATTAACTACCTTTTGTAAATTTTTTATTTCCAATAAAAAAACGGATGTTACAAAATTTCTTTTGAAATTCCATCGTCAAGGTAGTTACTATTAATAGGTAACATCGGTGAAAAATTTAAGATTTATATCACAAAAAAGATTTATATTAATCAAATTATTAATAAAATTCAAAGTCAACGTAACATTTAATGGAATATGATCTCAAATCATTTAAAATTTTTTGTTTTCGTAGTTAATTACCATTACAACACCTTTCTGCTTATAATCGACAATTGTTCTTCAAGATTTTTACGTCGACCGTTATAACCCGTCGACGGCGTTGAATGGCGCAAAATGCGCCTGTTAATGATTGCAAATTGGACAAGATAACCTCAGTATGGCACCTATAAAGCAGCAGAGAGCCCGAGAGATTCTTACGCAGTACAGGTCGGTTTTATGCAACCGGATACATGGGTTCGATTTTTCACAATGGAGAAGCCGACCAGAGAGGCAGGTTCGGTACCGGCGATATACAGATTGTCCTAACACGTAGCATACAATTTTTGTGGACGATGAAGTGTATGAAACTTGACCTATATAAAATTTCAATTGAAAATCTAGATAATTTTTTAATTGGGTTTTGTACAAATCCAAGTGAATTGTTTAATTAACTTTTTTAAATAAGTTTTGATTTCAAGATTTAGATTGGAATATAATAAGATTTATAGATATGGTTGCGTACATAAAAGGAAAGCATTCACACAAGTTTCTTTCATAAATCGTTCGACTCTGACAAAATTATGACCGAATGTAAAAAAGTTTTCCCATGTCATCCTATGCACTAACGAACTATTTGCTAACGACTTGGTTTGTATTTATTAAAATTTTTGTGTGGTAATCTGGGAAATCGCGAGAAAACCCTGCCCGTGTGATCTATACAATATTTATTATAATAACAATTGATTCTTTTAAATATATTCTCTATTTCATATATATTTCACTGTATTAATTCAAAATTCCTTAAAAATAAATTAAATCCTAAAAAAATTATGTAATAATAAGAACAGCAATAATAATGTAGTTTTTAAGATGTGTTATTGTTTAAAATATCAAAAGAACAATGTGACAAAATTTATGGGATGTGAAGCTCTTATATTTATTTGAAATTTGGTAAATACATTTATGTAATTTTAATGGTTTATAAGAGAAATTTTTCCTAATTTATTTAATTTGTAGTGTGTACATAAAGTCACATTTGTACGTTGATGAATTGTTCGTTTTGCTAATCTGGTCACCAACTGAACATCAGTACCCTTTGCAATGAGCCGTTGCAAGAAAATGTTTTTGTAATGAACGTCACAATGCCGAAATTCTGTGATCACAAACACTGGATGGCATAATTTCATCTAAAATTGAATTGTTCTAAACTATAAGAATGTCTCATTTTGACATAAATCTTCATTAAAGAATGTTTGTATTCAACCTTACATCAAATCTTAGAATGTTTCAGTCCAGCCTCATGTGCAAACCATGAATGCTTCTATCTGACTTAATTATTTTTGAGGTTCAAGATTAGGCTTGATGTGAAAATAAACCTAGCAGTCCCATTAAATGGTGAAATGCATTCCCTAGAGTAACAGGAAATAGCTACTAAACAAATTAGGCACTTAATCATAGAAAGAAGAACTTAGAACAAAATGGCAATAGTCAAGAAATCCTGGAGTTAAGACTATGTTAAATACCTACTCTGCATTTAAAAAGAGAGATTAGGTATATCAAAGTTGAATCTAATACCTACCTAATCAACAATAAGAAAAAAAACAGAACCCTCCAATTAAAAACTTTGACGGGAGCTGGGCTTAGAAATAATATTCAAAAAGCAGAAGTTTCTGTAAAACATCTAGAACATAAATTTAAACTAAATGAAGATCAGGAAGGAGAACAAAATGAGATGAATAATGTCAAGAACAAGAAAAAATTACACTGATGTCACTTAAAGACGTGTACTTTGATATAAAAGAAAATATTAAATAGTAAAAAGCGGCTGGTAGTTTAATAACTATGGATGGATTCTCGGAATTAAAACCCATTAAAGCTGGTGTACCCCAGGAAAATATATTGGGTTGGGTTGGGTTGGGGTTTTAGTATTGCTAATATAGTTCAAGTTTATAATTGAATATTCAAAGCCTAACATTCTTTTACATTTTCAACTCACTCCATCAACATGTTTATCATATATTGACTTCTGGTCAAGTATAATCCCGTTTTTTAGTGAATATAATTTTATGTCATAATTTTTTAGACAGCAAGAAACAACTATACAGGAAAAAATATCATTGACATTTATTAGAAACAGTAGTGGTTCACTTTCGCAGATGTTTTGTTAAAATCCGTTTACATTACATGTATTGTAAGTATGGTACACTTACGAATATGTCAGCATTTAACTCTTATGCGGGAGTATGTATCTCTCTGCCTTTAATTAACTGCAAACTTACAAGCTGAGAGTATTAGCTACAAGATGCGAACCGAGTTTGCAGTTAACGTAGATACTTATTATCTGTATTGTATTCATACCACTTATAATTGATAGTTAAGTTTTTCCACGGGCATAATGTTTTGATTGTTGCTGAAGAATTGTATGTTGGTGGAAACAGCAAAAATACCATATCAAAGAGCACCATACCAGGTCTCTAGCTAACATAACATAGTTCTGGACCTTTTAACATCATCCTTAACAATCGTCTTTGATATCTCTCAGCAACATCTTTTGTATCTCTCAATATCATCTCTGACATGATACAATATCGTTCTTAATGTAGTTCAATATTTTTTATGGTATCTCTCAAAACTCATCCTGATTGGTATCAAAGTTAAGTCCTTGCTTCCTTAACAACTTTCCAGAATCAGAAGATTTCTTGGTATATTTGATATCTCTCACTATCATCTTTGATATCTCTCAACATCTTCCTTCATATTCAGAAATTTTGTCCCTGGTCTCCTTCAACATCGTTTACGACACATTCAACGTTCATGTCATCCTTGATATCGTTTCGGCCATTTCCCAATATCGTAAATAGTCTTTACTCCTTTTAACGTATTCTTCATCAACCCAACCCGTGATATTTCTCAACGCCCTGCCTCATATGGCTTAATATCGTCAATTATCTTCTAGAATTCATCTATACCATCCTCAATAATCATCTATCAATAATACTTTTTGATACCTCTCAATGTCAGCACTCATATTTCTCAACATCGTCCCTAATAACCTTGTCTCTGATATTGTTTCTGCCATTCAAAATCTTAAAATCCCTGAACGCTCTTAAGACTGTCCTAATCTCAACAACGTCTTCTCCACCTGGCAGATGATGGATATCCTAATAATATCAGGAACGATGATATGGATCGATGTCACCAAACTTTAACGTTATCTGTGGCATCTCTCAGCACTGCTTCTGTTTATCTCCTAACATAATCTGTCTAAAACATCAACCTCATCATCTAACTCTCTTATTTTCATCCGTAATATTGTTCAACATCGTCTTCGTTATTCGCAAATATCATTTCTCAGTTTTGGCATCGTCTATAGCATCAAATTATTCATCGAGTTAGGCACAGTTCTAGGCCTTATCGTCTCTGATATTCCCCAACATCAATTCCTTTTTGTAATTTCTTCAACATTTGTATACGTCCACATATTTATTCGAATATATTTCGTTTGAGAATCCTTGTACTTTATTATATTTGAATTTCTGTTTGTTTCATAAACATGAAACATTAAATGTGTATCAACACTCTATAAATAAATATAGACGCCGATGTCTGCGTTGCATTAAATATAAAAACATGAAAAGTTAATTTTGTGGAATATTTTTATCAAATTTCCAGGATTGATAATAAGCATCTTTTTGTCATAGTGTAATCCGATTTAGAAAATTTCGATTAATTTTTGAGATAAAATATTTGAACATAATCCAGATTAAAAATCACCCGTATAATTAGAAATATAATAAATATAATTTTAAATTTTAAGCTAAACTCTGAATCGGATTCAAATTCAGATTGAAACTTGATTACTTATTATTTTAATTTAATAATGATTTTAACCATTATATAAATTCGTTGGAATTTTTAATTCTTTTGTTGTTGTAAATTGCGTTAACACAATGTTTTATTTCTGTGTTAGGTGATTTAATCATTTTCAACACTTTGAGTACCCAAGATTAATAAATTCAGAATTTATTATATTAAATTTAATTAATTTTAATGATTCATTTCAAGTAATAATTTTAAACTTACTTTTTTTGGAGAGCGATATTATTAGATTTGATTATAAATCTTTATCCTACTTATAATTTTTATACATATGCTTTTCACTTAAACATAATCTAATCTTATCATAGGAGTGCTAAACCCATGTATGACAAGCACACATAAGAAATAATAAACTCGTCGTAAAGACAATAAATGAAAAATATCAATATACCGATCAGTATCGATAATCTATATCATCGCAGCCAATAATAAAATGTATGTATAGAACATCACAAAGGGGAAGTCGCGCGTTTTACAACACATATACCTGAGGTCCAAATACTCCATATCAGTATCAGTTCGACATTGGAACTGTGTACGTGAGAGTCGAGCATCCTATATATTGGATATTGTGAAGTGAATTTGTCGTGTTTAAAAATCTAATTTTCCAAACATGGCTGAAAACACCGATCCCGATTTAGTTTTGAGTGCGAAAGATCTTCCAATATCGTTTCATGTTAAATATTTAGGTGAGATAAATTCAACAAAGAATTATTTGTTAGTTTTATTAGTTGTTTATTTTAAAAAGCCGTTTTATGTAATGCTATCGTAACGTACTGACTTATATCTTATCTGAAAAATCGTTATATGATTGTAAAATACGGTGAATTAAGTTGAAACAATTTTTTTTTGAATAAATTTTTCATTACCTAGTGTATTATACAACCAATCATGCTTTTATGGATGACAGGTGTTAAGCATGAAAGAACAGGTGACACAGGTAGATTTTCTTTCGCTTTATCGCCTTTATATATGATGTATTTATTCCTCCTTGTGTTGTACTGACCTTAAAAAATAAAGAAAACTTAAAAATTTCATTTTCTCCAGGTTTCACTCCTTCAAAAGGTCTTTGGGGGATAAAACACACTAGAAAACCAGTAGATTACATGGTAGATCAAGCAAAACAGCTTCCTCCAGGAACAATCGTTCCCGTTGTAAAACTTACAATTACCAAAAATGGTCTCACATTTAAATCCGATGACAAATTAAGTAAAATTCCCGAAAAAAAGTACAGCGTCGACGTTATATCATACGGAGTTCAAGATTTAATCTACACCCGCGTATTTTGTATGATTGTTGTAACCGGAAATGATATTAGAGACAGTATTCCATTCGAATGTCACGCTTTCGTTTGCGATTCGAAAAATCAAGCTCGACAAATTACTTACGCTTTGGCGGCAGCTTTTCAAGATTACGGGCAACGGGTAAAGGAAGAAAGCAAAACCAATCCCGCCCTTGCCAAAAAGAAGTTCGCCATTGATTTAAGAACACCCGAAGAACAACACGCGGATGAAAATGCCGAAACTGAAGCTTGAAGTTAAAATAAAAATTAATAAATAAGTTTATTTATTTATCGGTTGCTGTTAAGTTTATTTTTGGTAAACGAATTGTGATGTTTTAATTACCAAAGTTATTACGTTTCCATGTCGTAAATTAAATTTATCACTAAGATAAATTAATATTAATATAACGCGTTAATTGGAATGATTATTTGAATCATCCTATTATTTAATCATGCTTTATTGGGTGTGACAAAATGATTGTAGCAATTTCAGATGAAAAGCTAAATAAACAAGATTAAGGAATGTTAAATAAAGTCATTTTTATAATGGTTAATGTTCGATTGTTATAGATTATCTTGTAAGAACATCATTTACGATATAAATCGTTTAATTTAATTAATTAATTTAATAAGTTCTTATTCTAACATTATTATTTTGGCGATTTTGAGATAATAAAACCAATTTTTAAACAATCTAGAAATTTTTCATGAGTAAATCACTTCGTCACATCTTACATATTTATTTTTAACTATTAATAAGGAAAGTATTAACAATTGCACGAAATTAGAAATTAAAAAAGTTGAATCAATAAAGTTTCATAAAACAAATCAATTTTTATTAATATTTTTATTCATTAAAAAAATGACGCATCATTATATTATTACGTTTAAGACCCATTGACAGAGATTTATTCAAATTAAACCATCACCACTTTTTAAAAATGTTGGTGTCAAACCAAACATTCTTAAAAATTAATCACCTTTAAAGTCTGTCGATGGTCTTAAAATTGATTTATAATGATGCTTCTCCTCAATCTTACATTAAAAATAATTTTTTTGGAAAATATTTCGATCTATTTCTTAATATCTAGACCGTCTTAATCCACCAATTGGATGTCTTTGTTCTAAAGCTTCTTCGATAGCTTGAGGCACTTCCGGTACCGAAGTAGCGTCATCAACTTGTAAAACCGAATGACCCGAAGGAGCTGGTGATGCTGCGGGAACAACAGGAGCAACTGGCGCAATAGAAGCTAAAGGTACAAATGGAACATCTTCATTTTGAACGTCTTGATCTGGATCGGTGTTAAGTACATCTCCAAAACTCTTGTTTAAAGAATAGAATCTTGGGGAATCGTCACAATTAAGAGCTTCATCGGATCTCGTGCAAGTAAACATTTCCTATAGGTATAACACATAAAATTTGTATGGGTCTTTGTATTTTAGCATTCATACCTGATTGAAGACGGTTTCATCGGGACATATAAAACTCCAACGGAACGTCTGTTGTCTGCCGTTCGCGTACGTGACAGGAAGACACACGTGGAACAGTTGGCAATCGTTTTCAACATCCGCATAATAACCGTAATCTCTTCCTTCGCAACTAAAAGAATCGCTGATGTCCGATCTTATGCTTGTTGCATTACTTGGAAGAGTTAATAGTTGCGCAGGTGCTTGTTCAATTGATAACTAAAAAATGTATAAAAACAATCATAACAAAATTACAATTTTTTTTATAATCACTTACTCTTAAATTAGGAGCTGCATAAGCCAAAGAAAAAACTAATGGTAAAACTTTCGCGAAATACATTTTGTGTAATCCAAAAGGAGCTTAAACACAAAGGGAAGCTAAAGGAAGCGACCTAACGAAGAACACAAGACGCACTAAGTTATGCGTCGGTGGGACATCCTCAAATATATATATACGGAGTGTCGTCGGTTGTGACCAAAGATGGCAGGTGGTGGTGAATGGAAGAAGAGGAAGTAGCCATCAAAGCTATCGAATGAACAGTAATTCCATAAACGACGGTTTCTTCTGCGAAATTGGTCATCAAAAACTTTTTATTACCAGAAACTATACATTTTTAATCTTATTGGAGAATAAATGTAGAAAAAGCGTTGATTGAAGATGGTAAAAATTGAAATTATTAAAAATCCAAATCACGTAATTTCTTGTGACGTCTTGATTCGACGTAAAAGGTAAAGAAGCAATTAGTTTTTCATTTAGTTTTGAACACGTAGAAACAACAGTTTACCAGCCTAATTTAATTACATAAGGAAATATATGTTACTGTGTTAACTTATCGATCTCTCAATCTTATTTAAGAATGCGGAAAGGATTTAGCTTACAAAGATCACGAAGTATTTTGTTTTGTCGGCGGTGTTTTACTGAGTATATAAATAAAGACATCAGAATTCTAAACATACATTATTTTATTTATAACACTAAGGTCTTTGGAAAAAAATGTAAAAACCCATTAGCAATAATCCTTGGATTACCTTTGTTTATACTTGATGGTAACTCATAAAAATCATTTATAAAATTCTGTACATTAACCTGGTAAAATGTAAAAAAAAATAATAAAAACCTTTATTATTCACAAGACATTTCAAGAGGAAACCGCCAGAGTATAACTAAAATATGGAATTGCCGTTATAAATATTAATGGTATTTTCTTAGAGAAAATTAAGCATTCAGTAAAATTGCTAGTGGAATTGAAAATAAAATGCACCAAAAAAGAAAAAAAAGTACAATGCGAACAACGCGAAAAGTTTTTATCGGTAGGTGTGTGGTTAGAAAGTTCTTAATCAATTCCACATAAATAAACCATAACTAAAAAATTGATTAGTAAGAAGGAAGTATTCTAGAATTGTGTAACACAGCATAACATTTAAATCGACCCTATTTCATTAAAAGTTAAGGGATTACAATAAATGACGTTGATTTGTGACGCAACCGAGAAGTCCAGACGTTTTACTGTTATAACAATTTAAAATTCGGCTGATGTAGTTGATATTTTTAAGTTCAAGAAGCTCGAATTTGTTAGTACAGTTAATCGAAGAAATTAAAATTCATTGAAGCGCATTCGATACTTTTATATTTTTCGATAAAATCTTTACGAATTTATAAAAAAGGAAACGGATTCTGTTCAGGTGATGTGCTATTTCCGGTTGGCAGATTTACCCCAAAAGATGATACAGATCTACGATTTCAGTGTAATAACTATACCAGCTAATTAAATTTTTGAGTTATAGACACAGACTTAATGCTATAAAAGTCCAAATAGATTTAAAGGCTTTCAAAACATATCCCTCAAAACTGCCAGCACCATAAATTTTCCAACGTTAATATACCTAGAGATATTTTTTTGAAGAAATTCTACAAAATGATAGATATTCTATATAGATATCAATGTACATTTTATAGTATAAGATCTAGTTAATATACATATGTCTGATTCCGAATCGGCACATTAGGGTGACTTTTCAGACCTTCCATACGACGCGACGTATTGCATGATTTATGATAACATTTGTAGATGTAGGAATGTCCAAGTCATCACAGAAGAGTTTAGATTGAAACCGTTCGAGTTTTAGTATATGTCTTTTACTGGCAATCCCTAAAATTTGTGTAAATCCATGTAGGCTTCAAGATGGAGTTATTCAAAAGCAGGCCAGATATGTTTTCGCAGTTTAAACGATTATTTATTATTAATCTTTATTTAATGTAAAGATGACCTGCGCAGATTTAGTGCAATGTACTTTAATTCTTCAACATTTTTCCTATTTGTTCATTTCTTGTAACTGATTATGGGGTGCACAAAGAAGTAATTTGGCAGTCGATATGTTTGACAAAGATTGCGTAATTATATTGTTGATAAATATTTTAATGTATTTCATGTTGTAAGGTTGAATGCAGAACCTTTCCTATATTTCAGACTTGAAATCAGAAATAAAATTATTTTACGACAAGTACTTTTTATGAGTTATCTTTAAGATAACAAATGATCTGTTTCTCATCGCCACTCGGAAATTTGTCTCGTATGACGTGGAATAATTCTAGTTAGATGATTTGCAACCATGCGGATCTTCATCACGTCTTGACCATTTTACATTTTGATCAGATGTTTCGTAATATGTTAACTTTTGCACAAATATCAACATATTTTTGTAATTAATGCTTCTCGATTTAAACTTATTTCATCCATAGAAATAATTTCCTACAATATTCATTTTTATTGCATCAAGGCTGAATTCTTAAAACTACTAGACGAAAAAGAATAGCCCGCACAAAGGAAATTTTTAACAATGTATAGAGTCAGGTAATATATAAAAGTGGCTACAATCACAATTTATAGCGTTTCCCAAAAAGCCAGGAAGCCAAGAGTCATGTACTGAAGATGTTTCTTCTAAAACAATTCACAGAAGAATATACAAAAGATGCGAAGAACAGAGATCAAATAGTCAATTTTCTTCCATAAACGCATTCGGCACTAGAGAAGTACTTTTTGCTGCTTAAGTTCTAAGATGTACAGTTGTAAACTGTTATGTATATGCGTGTCTAATAGATCACGAAAACGTGTTCAACATCAAAATGATCAATATTCTTAAAGATGCTAACATAGATAACAAAGACCTTAGAATAACTTTAAAGCTCTGCTGGAACCAGACTGCTCTTTAATGAAGCATTTGATGGAGTAAATGAGGATATCCTCTTGAATAGAATCAGAATAAACAATATTAGATACGCAGATGATACGCTGATATTAGATACGCTGATGGCAGATAGCATAGAGGGATTACAAGCATTAGTAAACCGAATTACACACTACAGTCAGCAATATGAATTTAATATCAATGTCTAAAAAACAAAACGATGATAATCAGCAAAGAAAATATCAAAAATAAATGAGCAATGAAACAATGTACAAGAAATAGTCGTTTCCACACTGTTATATGGCATGGAATCCTGGACCTTGACAGAAGCCACAACTAGAAAACTGGAAGACTTTGAGATATGGTTGTATAGACGAGTGGTCAAAATACCATGGGTAGCTTACATGAAGAACAGGGAGGTGCTGCAAAGAATGAATAAGGAATAGGAAATTATGTATACCATCAAACGCAGAACCTGGGTCATAAGAAATCAACACCGATATTCCCTGTTCTAATCCATAATGCAAAGGAAAGTCAAAGAATAAGGAGGACTCGGCAGCAGAAGAATCTCTGTCATAATATGTCCTGATCATAATTCCCAACGTGATTGCTAACATTCGAATCTTTTAGGCACCTCAAGAAGAAGATTTTTTTTTACGGAAACAACTTATTTGTGGACCTATGTTTATTACAACAATTGTTTCTTCTTATACATAAGTATTACAGGTGAGTTTAATGTTGATATTGTTTTTTACAGATCTGTGTAGTTGTCTTTCATTGGTATACAATTCGATATATGCTCAGCAGCGATAATTTTGCTCCCCAAGTACTGGAAACCTCAATACAATCTACCATCTGCCGTTTATGGACAAGCAGCGATTCTTTGAGTTTGTATAGTACGTTTTTATAGAAGCTTGTTCTTTCTAGCTGATCGATTTTTTCACCCTAATGAAGGCATTCGTGATTGTATACTTGATTTCTTTAGGTTATTTACTCTTTTATGTTTCTGCATTTTATAAGTGTTGTTTAACTTTTTGCTTTTTTCATCACATCGTTTTTCATCTTTTGCACGTCTGAAATAACTTTGCATTCCCTATAACAAACTGAATATTACACATTTTAATTTTTTATTTAAGTTGGGGTAATAATTTAGACGCTTTAATTAGTTATATTTTTTATTCTACAACAGAGTCTATTCTTTATTTTATATTTTTTCGCCTAGCTTGGCTCAAATATTAAGGCAAACATCACTAGTATTTCCTCTGTTCTCCATTCTAGTTTATTTATGGCTTCCAATATATATTTTTAATCATAAGAGATTTTAGCTTTTGTTAATCCCGCGTTCTGTTGTGTTGTTTAATTATAATTATAAATAGTAAATAATTTATTCATTTAGTGTAAGAGTTTTGCAATTGTTCAAGTAATGATTTTCCTGATTTAATAGCGATTTTGACAATTCGAGCTTGTAGCTCAAAACTAGTTCCGTTTAAATAAAAAAAAAAGTTTTGATTTTTGATATATGATTATTTTTGTTCTGATTAATTTTTTTATATATCCAATATATATAACCAGGGTTGCATCCTAAAATACAATTTGATACATAATATTTCTAAATTGTCTAAAACTGATAAACGTTACTAAAATCAAATTTTTGTATGTTAATTAAATACATATGTAAACATGAATAGAATTCTAGGTACGAGTTTAGATACCCAAAATAAAATATAATTTGAAACAGATTCAAGCAAAATTAAAAAATGTCATCTCTTATGTATATACAATATACGTTTTAATGTAATGCAATGAAAAGAGGAAGTACTAAGAACAAAGAAATTGCAATTAACCGCTGTAACAAACGTCACAACCGCAAATTTCCATTTAAATAACAGGAAAGCTTCTTATTAATTCGTTATTGAAGATATTTCAATAACAATTGCATTAAATGTCAAGAATTACACCCAGTCGGAAAGTAGAAATAAATTCTTATCCACAAAAACTTAATCTAATTTTGTTTAGTCCCCAGAAAAACTGCAAAAAATGAAACTATCTTATTAAATTTAGCTAGCTGAATTAATTTAAATTTTTATATTATTATGTTGGCAAGTATCCGTATTGTATTTATACTAAACCGGTCGTTTTCACCTTGTTATTCATAACAAAACCGCGAAAAAAACCGATTAAAATGGAAACCAAACAACCGCCAGTTACCCAACCGAACGAAAATAGTAAAATTATATTCGTCGCTCCCATAACGGCTTATGGTGATTTTAGCGTCACGCTATTAGTTCCTTTACTTTTTGTCATTTAATTGCCAGCGCAAAACACTCTCCGAACTCTTATCGAATATAAAAGGGGCACCGATTTCTATCTGTTTCAGTGCGGACCAACCAAACTCGAGTGATATGTCATTAAAGGTAACCATTCTCACAAAAAATTTTTCCTCTCAAGTCTTATCATAATTTTTTAATACTTTTTATATTTCAGTTTATAGTTACGTGTGCCTTCGTGGCATACATCTCGGTTCAAGCCGCAAACGGATGGGAATACAAAGAGGAACACCATGAAGGAGATAGAGAACTTGCGGAAGCTCATGCACAGGATAGGCATGGAGGCGGAGGAGGTGGTGGAGGTGGTGGGGGCGGCCATGGTGGTGGCGATGAAGGTCATGGCGGTGGTGGTGGAGGCGGAGGAGGTGGAGGAGGGGGAAAGGATCCCAAAGTGAAGAAATACAGTTATAGCTACAGTTATGGAAAGGGCCATTCCCATAGTTATGATAGCAAGAAGGATGGTAAAGATGGTGGTGGAGGAGGAGGTGGTGGTGGTGGTAGTGAAGGACATGAAGAAGGTGGACATAGAAGAGATGGAAGTGGAGGAAGACATGGAGGAGGCAGTGGTGGAGGAGGAGGTGGAGGACATGGTGGTCACGGAGGAGGAGGAGGAGGTGGTGGTGGTGGACATGGTGGTCATGGAGGAGGAGGAGGAGGAGGTGGTGGCGGACATGGTAGTCATGGAGGAGGAAGTCATGGAGGTGATGGTGGTCATGGTGGTGGTGGCGGTGGCGGAGGAGGTGGCGATCGTGGTTGCCATTGAGAAGAATTGTTGTTTCCTAATTTATCTGTTAAATAAAATGTGTAAAGTTAAGATAAACTATTTTTTTTTAAATAGAAGGTTGTTTTTTATGTATTAAAAGTTGCAATTTTAAAATCCCATACATTTGAGATAAGTTGTAATCGACTCATTAATTCTTAACTCCTTCAAAAAATTATTTACTTATATCAAGAATTCTTTTCTAAATATTTTATATCTTAAATCTCATTATAATTTTATGCCATCTAAAAATACCATCTCTTAGCTTGAATTTAAAATATATAACATTTCTTAATCTCTAAAAATTGATTCTCTAGACTCTAGATCATAACTGATGTATTTTTTCAAGCAATATTTGTAAAAAAGACAAAATGTTTAGAATCGTTTATTAGAACACATTAATTTACATATCTATTTAGGTACAAAAACAAATTTTAAACTGTAAAATATTACATGACTAGTTAAACGATTAATTCTACCAAAACTATAAATAAATATAAACTTCCTTCAAATGTGTATTCGCGAAATTTCTGTTAATAAATAATTTATTATAACTACTTATATGTTTCTAAACGTACCATCGAACTAGAAAAGATGGAAACAAAAAATGCGTTTGGCACTAAAAAAATCTAACTTACATTAGGTGTACGTTAAGTCTTAAATATTAAGTATAAATCGTTTAATTAAACATACAAAAAATGATTCTTAAAGAAAAGGTAAAAGTACGTTTCGTAACATTTCACTTATTTCTTATTGGTTAAAATTCAACCAACTGAGAAATAGAATTTGATATTATTGCACAACATGAACCGCTTATATCTAATTCTATCAAAAGAAAAAAGTAACATGAATCGGAATATAATTAACGTTAAAATTAGTTATTGGTCCCAAGAATAATTTGGTTTATCGTTTACTTTCGTGTAAACAAGACCTTGAGGTTTCTGTTTCGAATAAGCCGAATCTTGCGCAAATTTCTTCGTTTCATCATAAGACCGTGACCATCCACCGTGCCAATCTTCCTCGCCACCATCATAATGATGTTGATGTTGGGCGTGTTCATAATAAATTACTTTCTGTGGTTGATGACCTTTCTTCAATTCTAAATAAAATCTTGCAGCGTTTAATAAAAGACTCGCCAAAGCTATGAATAAGAATTTAACTTGCAGATGAATGGCGAGAGCTTTTAATATAAGTTTTATTTTTGTTGCGGCGACAGCACCCAATAATAATAATTTTATTATGGCCTTCTTCTTCTTTTTCTTTTTACCTCTGCCTTCTAAAAATAAAATTAATACAATAAAATTTTAGATCGTCAGGCACATACTATAACTGTCTATGTTAACTGTTAGTTCAGAGAAATACCTAAAATTTTCCACCGCTACCATTTACTGTTAGATACTCACATAAATTAAATTATAAGCAACGATTACTCGATAAAATCACCTTTTCATCGGTAAATCGAAAATTAATTCTTTATCCTTACCTTCAACTTGTCTCGATTTATCTTCTTTCGCTTCATCTTTATCACCCCCCTCTTCTTCATCTCCTTCTTCTAACTCGGTCTCATCATTGCTATTTTCTTTACCGTCTCTAAACAAACCGGATATACCATCTTTAAACATATCAGTTAGCTCTGATATTATACTATTTAAAGAGTCCATTAAGGCTGAAGGTTTCGATGATTCTTCTGCTCTTCCGGATTCAACGACTTGTGCATCGGCTTCATCTAAAAGTAAAATGAGATAAAATGAGAAATGAGGGAAACAAGTGATTTGATAATGTTGTATAATGTGAACAGGTTGTTTAACTTCTTCTGACTAGGTCATTTTACCGCTACACACAATGGAAAACATTTCGTTGTAGTGCTTCGATACACAGGCTTGAACTATTTGACAAGAACCAACTGACGTGTGTTGCTTGTTATTCGAGAAGAACTTGTAACGCTCGTGCGGTGACCGTTATTGCTATAGTTTTTAATAAAAATAAAAAATACGGTCGGTTTCGGTTTGTTATGATATACATTTTAATAACATTCTTCCTTTTACATTGAGTGGTCAATTAACTAAGTTTTATGAGTTATGAGCATTAAGTAATTTTAAAGACTATAAAACGTTATGTTTATATTTGGCATGGTATAACAATTAAATTGTTTATGGGTTTTATGATGTTAATAATAATAAAAAGAGATGAATAATTGGAAACGAGAAAGTGGGTTTACTTCTTTAATATTTTTTATCAAACGTCAGGTGTCTACACAAATCAAAAATAATATTTCTAAATGAAAGTAGCTCAACGGTAGTTTATATTGTTGTAAAAATTAATACTTAATACTGTTGTAAATTTATCGATGACATGTTTTGTTAGTGTTGAGAATAGGCTTGTGTTTGGTTTTATTGATTTATAAGTCAAGTATAATAATAAGTCTTATAAATCATGATTCGATGAGTTTTGGCCATAACAAACTACTTTAAGAAATGTGGTTGTCAAAACACTAACTTTTTTATGATTATTTGTTAGCCATGTAGAAATGGTGCATCTTGTAATCTTCCTCATTACTACAGGTGAGAGCAAGTCTGCTCAATCTACTTAGTGTTGCTATCATCTTTCAAAGAACCTGCAACATGATTCTGTACTTGCTTTACAAATTTTCATGTTGTTCTTTAACTCAATACTATCCCTAGACGTCAAATTATTTAAACATTCCCAGTAATTCTCTATATTTTCACTTTCTATATGAATTCTGATATTTTCCATTTTGCCATTTTTTCGTTTTTATACGATCAAAACGTATAAATGGAGAGATAGAGAAACAGCAGGGAAATTTATTCTTTACTATTTCTGTGTGGTTTTGCTGTTTGCATTGTTCTCTCTCTCATCTCTGCCCTTATATAATACCATAAGATGGTAACTACCAATTTATGATCCTCTTCTTTCTTTTTGTTCTGTGTTTTTCTTCTCGTGTACTGCTCTTCATGTTTCGATATTCACCACCAGTTCGTTGTATCTTATGTATGCTCAATATCCTTTCTTTCTGGCCTCTTCCAATTATGGGATTGGAAGCTTTCTTTGCTTTTCTCTTTCTTTTCGCATTTCTCTTCATTAATCCATACTTTTTATTTTCTTAAAGATTTCTTTCTTGATGCTTTCTGTAATTAATTTCCCCAATATTGGTTTGTTTCTGTTGTAGCCTCTTTCCGATTCTTCTCACCTCATCTATTCCATTTATCTATCTGACACTTGATCCACGTTTAGTTCTATACCACATAATATATTCCTTAGATATAAATCTTGGTATTTTCACACTCTAGCCAAAATACTACGATGTTATTTCTTATCGTTATAGATCTAAATTTAGATCTACATAATCTTACGTATAATTTCAGTATGGATTTAAAAAAATCTGTTAACCAATAAGTTAACGATTGAAAAAATAATTTATAAATAAATACTAAAAGTGTTAAAATGTTAATGTTGATCTTCACGGTTTGAATATCAAATCGAATTAGCAAATTGCTCAGTTTGCTTTGGGAAAGAATTTTAAATTTACCCAATCAATTAGATTAACCCACTTTTTCAGGTTCAGGTCCTCCTTTTTTTTTAAGGTAAGTATTCAAGGTGGGAACTTAAACTCTGGTCGACCGATGCTTCTTGGGTCAATGAAAGTGGGTATCCATTATAACGGTATACATGTCTATAAAGAGCGAACAACGTTCGGTGTCGCAGACGAATACGAAAAAATGTCTGTGTTGATTGAAAATCCAAATGAAACTCAATACAAATTATATGAACTTTCCAAATAAAACTAGTTTTGGGTTGTTTATGTAAATGCAACGTTTTCTTTTTGGTTAAAAATATGTAAGAATTTGTAAATGCTAGGGAAAGTTTGTAAAAAATGTCTTTATATCGAGAATTATGCATATTGTAGAAAACTTGTTATAATTATTAACTAGGGTATAGAAAGTGATTTCAACAAATTATATGTTTTGGTAAAAAGTATTTATTTTTTGCAATTTTCTTGGTAACAGTTCAATATACCTTTAAGATTCTTTTCTAAACACTCTTCTTTGATTTTGCTTTCCATATAATACACTTTCGCTTAATCTATTCTTCTTTTTTACTTTATTTATTAATTTTTGCTTTACCTCACGGTTTCATATAAAGCGTAGAAAGTTTAAAAATCAACTCCTTTTCGCCGAGATAACGAAGAAATCGACTCCCCTACTTACCTGGATTTAAAACTAGATTACCAACGTTTGCACCAATTAAATCATAAAAATCATAACGGTTTAAATGATTCCTTAATTATTTGGTGCTAAACTGATAAATTGACTTATTTGCATAAATTAAGGTATAAAATGTTACAACTTCCTACCAACGCCTCTTTACATGAATAAATCAAATTATAAACCGCATTTAAGTTATGTCGTCACCTAAACGATGACTTCCTGCGTAATGAAGCAAAAACCATTAATAATTGAATTCGATCTGAAGCTTTAATAGAAAAGATGTATTACTATTAATTTTTTTACTTCTTATGAAAATTTTCACTCATATTTATGTAAATTAAAAGGTGAAAATGACCTTAATAAGCTATCCTAATAAGTGAAAATCAGTTTTAAACGTAGTTTACATAATATCTAGGTCGTATGATATATTATCTTTAGAAGATATAATAATCAATAACTATGACAACTGTTAATATATGATTGCATTTCCTGTTGGAGAATCTTGATTAGAAATCTATCACAGCCGTTTAAACAAGGTAATATTATGGCGAATCTTAATTATAAATTTAATTAATTGGTAATGACAGAAATAAATTTATTTATACGGGTTAAGTAGATTTCTTTAAATTTATTGGAATTTAATTAATTTAAAATTCAGGTTATAAATATACCGTTGGGAGATTTCAACACTTAAAATTCATTACAGATTCTCGACAATTTCTTTCGATAGCTTATAAAAGTTCTAGGCCACTTTACATAAGCACCAATAAAACACATCTGTTAATGTATTAAAAACAACCTCTCTTAAACCGATAATTTTCATTACCGTTAAGCAATAAGATGATTAAATCTTGTGTATGAAGAACACCTTTTCATTAGTACTCGAATATTGTGCTTTACTGCAATGTGGTTTTAGAAAAAACTTACCCCAAAATGATTTATTGGCATCAACAACCATTAAATCAGCTTTATCCAAGATACATTTTCCATCCAATGTACCAATACAAAGTGCCATATCCACCAAATTCCTTAAATTCCTCGACTTCCAACTTAATCCTTGTGATGTTGGATTTTGTGGTAATTCTTCAACACTATTTCTCGCTATCGAGATATCTTTTGGATGCAACCTTTGACATTTTCCACCGGTGATGATTAAAAGAAGCAGGGGTGAAACAACTAAGAGGAAACTCTTCATTTTGATATAAATTTGATTCAATGAATCATGAAATTTTCGCGCACTCCAATTATTTTTTAAGATAGAATTTTCTCTGAGCTCCAGGAGCACCAGTTCTTCTCACCTTGAACTTGAAAACGTTTCTGGAAGGCCATAGGTTGAGTCGAGGCATTTATAAGTAAGAGAGATCGCTGCGAAGAATCGCGCTGGTGGTTCACTTTAAAGAAGAAATGTGGAACGCCCGGCTTCTCCGATATTGCTTGCCTTTGAGTATTCCCTATAAAGTGAAGTTACGCGGGTGATTTACTATATATAAATTTATTCTGTTAGATAGGTATTTTAATCCTGTTTATGATAACATGATAACATTTTGTTATTTATTACATCTTCATCATTCCTACTTAGATACATATCAATTTTCTGTACAGAAGGTAAAATTACAGTAGACGTTTCATGCAATTAATCACGTCACTTTAGAATAAACGCCTTTCAAGTAAACTTTACCTTTCGTTCGATCTAAATGTACAAGAACAGCCTCCGGCTGTTAGCACATAACTTTGCGAAGATGCTCTTACGGTACTTCCCACGTTTTGGAAACGTTTTGATGAACCAATTTAATCAATGTAAACAGTGCGTTTCTTAAGGAACTATTAGTGATTAACTAAGATTGGTGTCGCATAATGAGTATAGTTTAAGGATTACAATGAAATTGACTTAATAAGAGACCGGAAAATAAGTTACTGATTTCTAACTGGATTTCCAACGTTTTCTTCCGATTACAGTTGTAAACAAGTATTTCAATCAATGAACGACGTTTTAAGCCAACATAAAATATCTTAGAAAGCTTTGTCAAGAGAAAACTCTGTTTCCTAATTTAAAAGATTTTATGTGAATAAATTATTAGAGTTACTGCTGATAACAACAATAACTTGCCCTGCATCTCCAAGTGTGTATGTTGTAAACTAAACAAGATTTGACTGCATAAAAAAGCTATTTTTATTTTTATCACAATTTATTATTAGTTCTTCTCATGCCTCTTGATCTATGATATACGGCCTCAATGCAGTCTTGCCCCATTTTTGCAGTAAGTCCCCTATGTGTGGCCTAATTAAGCGGATGTTCCCATTAAATAACGGACCAAATAAGCGAAGTGCCATGTACTACATCAAATATATCGGGTCATTTATTTACAGGAAGGAAAAAAAGATCATGTCTATGCCATTCCTTTATAGTTTGGTTATTAGATGTCAGATTAGTCTGGGGTCCTTGACTGGTATACGAAACTCACTTAATTTCTACTCCCGACACTCACTGTGTATGAAGATCAATACAAAGCGTATGAAAAAGAGATTATCCAATACACTACAGAAAGAAGTCAAATTCAGAAAGCTCCTTTTCCTGTAACCTATCATGTAGTCGTCCAACATTGCTTATAAAATCAATCGTTCGGATTGTGATATCGTTGTTATATCAGGACATCATAACAGCTTAAACCTAGATTACAGCAACATGAAGTACACTAAGAAATCTAACTCTAGAGTCCACTATCCATCCTTGTCAAGAAAATGATTTATCCTAAAAGGCTTAGAAAATAACTCATTTTCGCAATAATTCTAATAAAAAAACTAATCAAATTAACCAAACAAGCACGTCCTAATAAGAAATAATTAAAAATGACGGAAAAATAATCATCATTTTGCGGTTTTCAAATCGTAATTACACACTTGAAGAACTCCAATTAAACTGTAAGAGATATAGCGTTGATTAAAAGACAAAAAGTTCCTCATAAAATCATTTCGTTTTATTTTAAATACACTTTATAATTAATTAGTAGTTGATACTAGAAAGTGTGAGTTACATCGTCGTTACTCCTGAGTTCTCAGGAGTGCTAATTTGATAAGAAAACATCATGTCGAAGAAGGTCAGTAAGGTGAAGATTCGGTTTTTCTGTAAATAGCAAATTTTCAATGCAGATCTGAGTGTTTAAGTAGGTTTTCATGTTTTCTGTACCTATCCATACAGATTACAAATTATCACAGATTCTCGACATAGTTTCAAAGTAAGTTGAATTTTAAATTTAAAATCATAACTATATACTTGACTATACCATATCTTTATTATTATTTTTAATGTCGTGTTCAACTTCAACTTTCTATCATTTTTAGCAAAAGCGAATATGTTTACTAATAATTTAATTTAGAAACATTAAAAAGATTTAAAGAAATCTACAACTTTCTAATTTTTTATATTTGGTCTTTTTTTAATTCTAAATCTTAATGAGTGTTACATTTATAATAAATTTTCCAACGATTTTTTAATTTATTCTTAATTTCGTGATCTAGATTTTATATCCTACTTATAAATTTTCCAAAAAATCATTTGGAATATTTCGAAATTCAAATTCGCTGTAGATAATCGATAAAATGTATTATTGTAACATATGACACAAAAACCCGGATTGTAACTGGACGAATGAAAGCAGATCTCTTTTACAGGTGTAAACAAAGAAATTGCTTTAAGTGGATGCTTAAACAAGGGCAAATAAGTTGAAAGAATATTCTTTTCTAGTGTTGTTGAAATTTTTTTTGCAATTTATTTAATTTTATAAACAATTCTTAATATTTACTTACGATTAAGATTTAAAACGGAGAAAGTGTAGCGTGTAATAGCTGTATATTTTATTAACCTAGTTAATTATTATTAATGGAATAATAAATTGCTCCAGAAAATGCATATAAGAAAATAACGATGAAAACGATCAATATAGTTGTGTTAAATCTGGTTCTGGCAGCCGATTTCTATAACATCTCCACTTATCTTCCGGATACTTTTAGCCGTTACGAAGACGTTTCGATCAGTGAAACTGTCCCAGATAAATTCGACGTTGACATGTCGATAATTGACCTGGCCACACCGGAGGAAGCCGATTTTGATACCAAGATACATTTCTCGTCGTTACTTTCAAAGACATGCTTCAAATTGTCGTAACTGCAAGATATTGTTAAATTTGAAAGGTGGATCGTAATGAATTATCTATTATTATGGTTATTATTTTGTGTCCCAACCGTAACTAATACAACGAAATCAATTCATGGTCGGTTGTAGTGATCTTGAGTTAATAATTTTAACTTAATTTCTAACAATCTAATACTTATGAAATTTTCACATAATCACTAAGGATATCTGTTTTACGATTTATACATAGTTTCGGCTCGTCCTTGGAGGTGGTGTGGATACTTTCCTCCGGGTTATGGGGTCACTCTTTTCATTCTAGGTCGTCTGCCTTCTCCGTCCATAAGTTACACGCCGGATGTCTCATTTTATATTTCGCAGACGTTTCAGACACTGTTTGTGGTTGTTACCTCTTACGCTGACAAAAGGAATGATCGAACCGTTATGGATGATTCATATAAATCGGCTTCTTACTCCAAATAACATACGATTGGTAAGCTGAATAAGTTATACGTGGTCGACAAAATTGTCGTAGTATCGTTAACACTGATCTTAAAAATAATCAAACAAATAACCGTTAAATCAACAAACGAAACGTTATCGCATTGTATCATTAAATTTATTATAAAGTTGAAAAGATCTATTTAGAGAGAAAATAATTTACGGCAAGATTGGTGTTATTATTGTAATAAAAGTGAGGATGTAACGTTTAATGGTATTATGCGTCGTTAATCATCTTTTAAAAGTAGTTCAATCGTTTGAAGATTATATGTAAGCAGCACCATTTTCTATTTTAGCATCTGTTAATCTAATAGCTTCCTCAAATAAAACAAAAGTGTTTTCTCTCAAAGAAAGTTTGAGTGCGGTTTAAACGTGTGTGCTCTGTTAGCAATCTTAGTCACGTTTATATAGGCTAGGAATGTGATGGATTTTGGACTAAAAAAACTTAAGTAATGAAAGCGTCTCAAATTGATCCGGTTTCTATGAACGATTTATGACATAATACATAAAAAGAATATCTTTCTTTGTATAATTACATAACTCAATTACATTAAATTAAACCGTAAAACATTGAGACATATTTTCCATTTAAATGTTTTAACATTTTTTCTTTAATATTAAAATGTCACATAAATGTACTGTGTTAAGCAATAATAAGGAGAAATCAGAAAGCTGATAAGATATGTCAACTTATTTGGGTCTAAGATACAAAATGAACTTTTTGATGCTGATTTAATTAATGAAGTAACCCTAAAAAAAGGATACTTTATTTAATAATTGGCAATATTTCCACAAGGATCCTGCTAGAAATGAATTCTACAGCGAATTTTGAAAGTTATCGATGAAAATTGCAACATTGAAAATTTTATCAAAACTTCAAATATTGTTTTCTCATAAACTAAAAGTTTTTTTTCAAAACGGGTTGGTTCATTGGAAAGAGGACAGTTTTATTAACACTTTGGGAAATTTTCATACTCATATTCCAAGATATGGATTTTATACGAATTTTTAAAACTTAATCGGCGAAAATTACAAAATTCGTAAAAATTTTCGATTATTTCAAAAATTTATTTCTCAAGAACTAAAAGTGATTTTTCAAAACGCCTTTTTGCATTAGAAAGAGGATACTTTAATTAATAATTGGTGATATTTCCACAATGATCCTTCAAGAAATTAATTTTATAGCGAATTTTGAAAATTATCGATGAAAATTGTAACATCGAAAATTTTATCAAAACTTCAAATATTGTTTTCTCAAAAACTAAAAGTTTTTTTTCAAAACTGGTTGGTTCATTGGAAAGAGGACACTTTTATTAACACTTTGGGAAATATTCATACTCATATTCCAAGTAATCGATTTTTTACGAATTATTAAAATTTAATCGGCGAAAATTGCAAAATTCGAAAAAATTGTCGATTATTTCAAAAATTTATTTCTCAAGAACTAAAAGTGATTTTTCAAAACGGCTTTTTGCATTAAAAAGAGGTTACTTTAATTAATAATCAAAAGTGATAACAGCGACAGTGCTATTAGTAATGAATGTGATGATTAATTACAAGCGAAGAGAAGAAAACTAGACGAAACTGCAACAAGAGATTTTATATATCGCATTGGGATTGTTACAATGAGGTTGCTGATGACAAAACTGATATAAATAAAGTTGTATTCAATGAAAAAAGTCCTATTGGGGTTGAACTTGATTATTACCTGCAGTATCCAACACCTAAAAGAGATACTAATTCCTGTGAATGGTGGAGTACTAAGTAATAGGTTTTTAATATCCGTCCCACCACTAATTTTAACGTTACTAAAATTTTCAAATTTTCAGCAGATCTATTATTGAACTTACAAGGAATCGTGCAGGAACAAACATGCTTTTGTAATCTTTCGGTGACCTACTATTTTAGCTTCATGAATTCTTAACGAACATGAAGGCCCAACCCTTTTTTAGTGTGATGTCCCTGTTTTTATTGCAACGTTGTAAATTAATTACGGAACACCGAATATTTGGTTTCCTGCGCCTCATCAATAGATGGCCTTCAGTGCACTGTTATATATTCCACTGTTTATAACTATTTGAAAGAATTTTTATGGTTTGGTTATGTGCCTCTATAAACATCTTTTACCAATGAAATAGAGTAACCTTACAATACCAAAATAACGAAACATGAATCCCTAGGAAGCCTAATTGTGTTACATGCGCAGTAATAGATGTAGATGTGGACAGGTAGACAATCAGAGGTTGTGTACTCTAATTAACTTCTAATTATATATGAGTTGGTAACTGGTGATAAAGAGGCGACATGAATAATAAGCTTCTCGAAAAGGGGCACCAAGTTGCAACACTCTTCGTACTGGTCAATTCAGTTTTTCAGGCAACCACATTATACAATCTATCAGAATAGCTTTTGATTTTTGCCTCAAAGCCTCAATTATGTTCTATTGCATGAGCAATATGTATCGGAGACCTGTAAAGACATAACAATTGGTATTAATCAATAACCAAATTTGCTCAAATATAAGGAATACAACTGTATCTACTGCACGGTTCTGAAAATGGGGGGATTTCTGTTATGTCAATACACAGACTTCATAAAGTTTCCAAATCCAGTAGAATATCACAGTCATTTTTTCTTCATTATATCTCAAGCTTGGCATAATAAATTAGTTTACCAAAGAACTGAATGTTGAAAATGTAGTGGTCACTACATAGTTTTGTTCTGTCTCTACTCCAACATTCGAGAAGATCAGATGTATGATCTCAAAAGTGAACGCATTTTTCTACCAGTTATACAAAATGTCTCTAACAACATCTCAGTTCTAAGAGAATTTATTGAATTTATTATTGATTCACCAATTGAACCTAAAGTCGAAGAAATAAATCAATGAGTTCCAAGCTAATCTAAACAGCTAAGAAGATAAAATGACCAGCTACACTTGTTGCCAAAGAGTGTAAAGAGTATTTTTCTTAATGGTACACTTCAAGAGGAAGTGCTTCAATAGTTACAAATTTGTTAATCCAGACATTTCTCAATCTTTTAATGAAATAATTTAGAAAATACGTGATTGGAAAGTTTGCGCCGGCTTAATGAAAGAAAATATTATATAGCACAAACACAGTACACACATTTGAAGAAAATTAAAACCATCACCTCAATTTTATACGGCCAGTAAGAAAACTAATAAACATTGGGAAACTAATTAAAATTAAATAAACTCTCCAAAATTCACATTAGCACAGATTTAAAACCACTGTCGGGTTTAACATCCATTATTGAGCGCATCAAGCACTTAATTGAAATACTACTTATATTAAGTATACTTAAGTATTTCTTTTAAACTTATAGAAATTTGAGAAAGTAGATTAGGCAACTCTACTTAATTAATTTAGAAATTACCGTGTTATTCCTTTAAATATAGGCAATCCATATTACAGCAAGTATATTTTAAAATTTTATGTTTAAAATACCATAATATAGATATTGTTAATTCTTTTTAACCAAAGGAAATCAATAGTGCTTTTAAAACGTTAATATTACTGTTATATTTCAAAAAAATGAAATATTAAAATTATTTTAATAAAAACTAAATTTAAGGAGTTGTTAAATTCTGTTTTATTTTAGTCTTTTTGCCACAAAAGTAGTTATTGTGTATTTTTAAAATATACAAAAGATATACTTAATTGTTGTTACGAACATATACATTTAAAAATTACAGATAAAATCCCTAGATAGAAAATCAAACATATTCGATAACGAGCATCTGTATCGTCGTATCTGATTGTTAGTGAGCTATTTCAAAATTTTCTAACTGGACGTTTTCGTAAAACTCAACATAAATACACGTGACGTCATTAACATATATACACGAACATCTATGACTATATCTGACACATGGATTGGACAGATGATGAGAAGAATGAAGGTCGTGCAGATTAGAGAAAAAAGCAAAGTATCTTTGGGTTTCCAGTTTGCTTTGAGTATTACGAAAACGTACGGTATTCGTTATTATTTTTTTTTAGATACTCATTACGAATATGTTTGTCGGACTCGTTATTGTTTGTCTACATCAGACGAAATACGTTTATTTATTTATTTTTGTTGAAAGAGACTCTGATATTAACCGACAAAACATTCACTGAGCATTGCTGCTTCACTTCAAAAAGCCGGTCAACTTCTTTTACGAGTCGACGATGCAGATCGACGTTAATACTCGTTTTCGTTAATGTTTGGCTCGAATTGTCAAAAACAGCACGAAGTCCTGATGGCTTATTTTTTTTGTACACTAAACACAGCTGTAGATTCTTCTGTTACTTTAACCTCTATGCAACGACCGACTGTGGATTGTAATACTGGAGACATGCTTCTTGGCTAAACACTCTTCAAATCGAGACAGACACATTTACCATTGGAAGTAGCTGCGGTTACACGATCTTGCTGATCCGCACCATTTCGTTTCCAGGAGGGGAGGACATAATCTTCCTCCTCTTCTAGCGTGCTTGATGACCTCCCTTCTACGTTGCATTTCGCCAATGCCGCAAGATTTACTGCAGGCACTCCAAGGACCCCATTCACCAACCCTACAATCTCTGGGTGGACCTATAAAAGAATTAATTCAATTAAAAAAAGCAAAAAAAAATTGTTTTCGTTATTTAAATTAACTCGAACAGTATGGTAATTTCATACTTGCATATTGGGACATGCAACTAACTAATTTGCACGAACAACAATACAATATGACATTATTGACGTAACTATTACGGTTAATGAATAGGAACCTCGATTCCTGTCAATACGTTGCCCGGAAGCTGTAACGCTCCAAGGCATCATTTATCCAGAATCAATACAACGTTCCAACAATATCAGATATACTCAACAAACTAAGATAACAGTATAAAAGGTTAATAAATAATAAAGAAAAAGGCACTTACGCGTCTTCTTCGGTTTACGGTACTTTTTCCTGCGGTGATCCTTTGAGTGGGTCCGGTACGAGTCCACTATGCTATTCATGATGGCATCCTTGTTGCCCCTAGGTATCATATCCTGCAGGGATACCCTGGTTGTCGCCTCATCCGCTTGACGGCTGAAACGCCAGTAAAATTTTACGTCACCCTTGATACCTTAAAGAAGCTTTTGTCCTGCCACGTATCGCCCCTTTCGTCCAAAGGACTGCGGCACTAAAATTGTAATGAGAAACTCTATCGCGCGACGAAGGAGAACGCTTTTAGCGATTCCAACAGTGAAAACGTATTTACTCTTACGAGGAACTACCGCGCTACTTAACAACTTCGTCGTCATTGTGAGTACATAGTTATGTTATTTAATGGCCAAATCTTTAATACAGTTACAAAGTGTTTGTTGTCTCGAAAGATCGGAAAATATATTATTAATTGAAATAAATTTTCATTAATTATTTATAATCGAAGACTTTATGTACAATTATTATGTTATCGTTTAAATAATAAAAGATTTTCAACAAAAGATAGCAATTTGTTGAGATCCCTATACAATACATATTTAAAGCATGTTCGAGTTCCAATAGGTTTTGGGGAACCAATCGATTGCTGGGGAAAAAATTAAAATAAATTTTATAAAATTATTTCAACGCAACTAAATTCTTTCTGTACAGCAAACATGTTTGGTACTTGAAACCATTACAACCAGATTGACTGATTAAATTACTAGAACTATAAAAAAGACCTCAAAAAAAACGACTAAACTCAGCAACCTCAAAAGAGGAAATTTAGAGTTAAGGCGAAGTTTAGAGCACCATATAACATAGATGAAAACTATAGCTTTTGATTTTTGAGTTCATTACTGGAGTTGATTTTTTGAACAAATCAACTCCTGTAATAAATTCCTTTACAAAAAATTTTTCTGGTTTCTGACCCAGAATGATGAAATAGTTTCTAAAGTAAGATGACAGTTGCATCACCGACTTTTCAGGGTCTGAAGAATCTATACTTAATCAGCGAGTTACCATCCACCCACTTAGTCGAGAGAATTTGCTATTTGCTAAAGAAAACCGTAAGGAGGAAAAAATTTGGTGAACTATAAACAAATTTCTTCTAAGGTCTCTCGCCCAAATGCTATCGTACCAGCCCTGCTATAGCGAGGCTTAGAGGAACACTTTTTTGTGGCGTTTGCCACATTCTAAATTATAAGGTTGATATTTTAACGAATTTCATATCTCAGCAGAAGACGCAAAATGAAGAAGATAAGAAGATCCTCTTGCGTATTAATGAGGCGTTGGTAAATCTCAATTCTGCCTAGATTCTATGGTTGGATCGACAGTTTTCTTAAACAAAGAATTGTTTAATTAAGGGTAATAACAACCTTAAAAAGGCTGTTACGTTACCAGATGTTACCCTCAAGAAGATGAAGTTTTAGCACATTTGTGGAACATAATTGTGAAAACAACTAGGCCCCATCAAATAGGCTCCCGATCGATTATCTATCATAGATTAATATGTGGGGGTAGTATATAACAGGATATAGGTAGAAATCAATATAATTGAGAATTAATAAGCTAACAGATTAAGTTTTTCGCTAAACTGTAAGAAGGCAGTGTTAATTCTGTTTACACGGCCGAGAAAAATCGGTAATCTCAGAATGCCAGCAAATTGTGAAAATCACACTTAGACAATAGAATCAATAAAGCTCATGTCAGCTTCGGCCTGAGTGATTGAAAAGTCAAGTATTGATCAACACAACTCTTTGGATTTACATCACTGACAGACAAAGGAAGAAAAAAAAAGACCAATGAAGGAGATGCGAAGGAGGAAGAGTATTATTGCCTAATTTCTGATGAAAAGCATGAAGATCCTCCAAGTGAAGACTGGGTAAAATGTTGCAAATGTAATTTATGGGTCCACGAAAACTGTATAAGTGGTGAAACTGCATCTAGAGCATCCCTTCGGACGGATATCCGGTTATCATGCATATCTATCCGGCCATTATGGTTATATTTTCTAGTACATTTCTGAAGTGATACCCTACATTGCCACATTATTGCGATATTTAAATAAAAATGAAATTAATAAGAAAGCTGATAAGATATGTCAACTTATTTGGATTCAAGATACAAAATGAACTTTTCTGATGCTGATTTAACTAACGAGGCAACTTTAAAAAGAGGATACTTTAATTAATAATTGGCGATATTTCCACAAAGATCCTTCAAGAAATGAATTTTATAGCGAATTTTGAAAGTTATCGATGAAAATTGCAACATCGAAAGTTTTATCAAAACTCCAAATATTGTTTTCTCAAAAACTAAAAGCTATTTTTCAAAACTGGTTGGTTCATTGGAAAGAGGACACTTTTATTAGCACTTTGGGAGATTTTGATACTCATATTCCAAGAACTGGATTTTATACGAATTTTTAATCTGGCTATGGCCGGATATTAAAAAATTGCCGGATAGGCCGGATACCGGATAGTTGCCGGATATTCGTTCCACCACTAATCTAGAGGATTTATTTGTGATTTATGTGATGATTAGGCTATGTGTATAGATAATGTTAACTAGTTTACCAATGGAAAACATTAATTATTTATTACCAGATTGAGTCTATCACATTTTAGCACTCACAGTGAGATACCCATAACATTTTCCTTTTTATTAATATTTTCCGATCTTAAATTATTTACTTATTATATAATCAAATAATAAATAGACATCGAAATTGTAAGTTTTAAAGTAACCGCTAGAACAAAATTGTTTTTGGTAAGATGTAAAAAAGTTACTTACATCGTATTAGATTCTCTGCTAGATTCCGTTATTTTCTTATTAGGTGAACTGCTGGATGAAGTTGTAGTGTATAAGAACTGTTGCATTCTTTGATGTGGTTTTGGATATTGATGAACTTCCTGTTCTTTTCGTTCCTCTTCAATTGCGACTTCGATGTCACTATTTCCATTTAATACATTGATACTATTTTGGGACAGGTGTTCCATCTTGAGAACTTCGTAATGTTGGTCGTCTTCGGAGTGATGAAAAACTTCGCTCAATTCGTATTCTTTGACCTGGCAGGGAACCAAAACAGGTGGAAACAATTGAAAAATGCGGAAACACCGTTGGGTGACGTCTAAAATACGGTATTCGGGAAGATATAAAACTCGAGGGCGATACAAATTTTCGGGCAAAGTTGCACGAACGGATAACGGGGGCAGGGAGCCGAAACGATAAATCTGGGAGTACATCCCGAGGGTGTCAATGCAAACTGGGCTGCACGTCTGGTGCCGTAGTTTTCTAGTCCGGCAACTCGTGCGTGAAATATGTGTTTTTCCCCGCGAAATTATAAAACATATTTCACAGATCCCGCAGAGCTCCGCGTGGAAAACAGCGGCCAAGTTGCCAGAGTTTTATGGTGCAGAAAAGCGGCCTCCGCTATGGGCGCCACTTCGCGATGAAATTATAAAATATCGACGGCTGCAGTGGCGCAGGTAGTCGTTATAAATCGCGCGAAATTGTACACGTTTAATCCGGCGCGGCTGTTTTCGCATTAGTTTAAAACCAGGAAATTGCCATTGCCGAGCCGAGTTGCGCCCGAAGAATATTCGGTAAATTAGGACAAATTCTGTCTCAAGTTCCATTATGCCATGAGCGCTATCGTAAACTAGAGACGTTTGTTGTGCTCTTGTTCACAAACTACCGGAATTATGTGGAAACCGCGCAACCTATAAAACAAATCAAGTTAGCTTATCTGTACTTATTAACACTACACTCTGCTCGAAATTGGCACTTTTCCCACTGGTGCACTAATCTCGGTCGTTTCCTTTTAAACTTTTAAACCTTTAAAGTAGTTATCGACGCCTGGATTAGGTACTAATCGATATCGCTTAAGACTTATATTTACGACCTCAACTTAATTTTAATATTAAGAAACATTTCTTTAAAATTAATTTTTAAATAAACCTAAATTAAGAACTTTACACCAATCCAATAAATCTGAAAAACTCGTCCGGCAATTCCGTGTATTCAAATCAGGCTCGACCGAATTTGCAATTTCACCTCTCCTCCCATCGGCGTAATTTCCCCATATTTACGGTACGAAGAGCAATCCCGACGACCCCAACACGCCGAACCCGTAACCATTAACCCCCAGCGCTCATCTCACTAATTAATAAAGCAATTTCTGGGGGTTCGTCGTCGTTACCTTGATAAATTGCAACGTGTCGATGGCGTCGCCACGAAAAAGCCTACAAGAGACGACGATTTTGTCCCCGACATTAATTTGAGATAAAATCAAAGTACCGGAAGCAATATTTACGCTCACGACCTTAACTAACTAATTAATAAAGCAATTTCTGGGAGGTCCTCGTTATACCTTAATAAATTGGATCGTATCGATGGTCTCATCATGAAACGCTATAAAGGTTTCTCGTGGTCGGTATATTTTCAATTAAAGTTATAAAGTCAAAGGTAGTTATGTTTATATTAATGATACAGTAATTAATTACTGAGCAGTTAATAAATAATGTTCTGCAATGAAAGTGTGTTTAATATTAGCGCATTTCACGAAGATGAGAAAAGTTTTTTAAACGAGAAACGTTTAAAAAACAAAAATTGGATTGAAAATCAAAGTAGGTACTAAAAAGCAATACTTACGCTCACTCAACCACAAGCTAAATAATTAATAAAGTAATTTCTGCGGTCGTCGTTACCTTGATAAATTGGAACGTGCCGATAGCCGGAAGCCTCTTCATGTAGGGATAGAAGAAGGAGCCGGCGGGGTGCGATGGGTACCGAGACGTGATGCGATACGCCACCCCCTGGGGTTCCGTGGGCCAGTTGGGGGCCGTGAACGTGAACCCATTATCGGTACCTGCATCCACGGGGTCCACCTGCAACGCGAAAAGTAGAACGGTTTATGCTGTACCTCCGGCAGAAAACTGGCAATTTAAGTTTTCGTCCTGAATTATTTGTTATAGCTTGTAACGATCTTAAGGGGGAGATTGCGATCTGAACGCCTACTGGAGCGAGGAATTTTATATCGTAAGACGCGGGGTTACTTTCGATAATCGAGCGATTTTGAGATGAACGATTCTTATTATGGGAAGATAATAACATTGATGGAAGAGTTTTTTTTATTATATTTGTTTTAGCCGAGTAAGAGTCTGTAATAAAAATGTAAATGTACTAGGGTAAAAGGTAATAAAATGATCTTATAAGGAAGATATAAAACATAATTGATATACTTACTTGTTACATAAGTACTTTCTTAAAACATCTTTATGAAATTATTTAATCATTCAAAAATTTCTTTCGAGAAATTTCGAGCATACAAGGTTTTATTGGCTTATCAAAGCAGGGAAAACTGAAAATCAAGTAATATCTAGTTTGGTAAACATATTTCAAAGTGGTTCCAATAAAATTATGACAATTTCTCTGGAAATCGTTAGAAACTCTCCTGAAACTTTCTAAAACTCTTTATATCTTCTGGTAATTTTTAAAAATTACTGAGAAAACCGTAATCGATATCTTTAAAACCCCCAAGACGTTATTGAAAATGATATACTTTTCTAGGCATCCAAAGAAATGCTTCAAATCTCTTCAAATTTCGAAATCTTTTGTAATGTTTAAAGAATCATCTGAAATTCTTTAAAAATATATAGTTAGCCTTCAAACTATTAATAACGTTTAGATATATTTAGATATATCGGATTTTCTTTCCAATTTTAAGAAAACTCGATCACAAAATTCTCTGAAATTCCTTCAAAACGCTGGATATTCTTCTAAAAAGTCTTAAACATCACTATTTATGGCAGGTTACGCAACTTGTTCGTAAATTCAGAATCAAAATTCACTGGAAATCCTTGGTAAGCGTTAAACATATCTAAATATCTTTAGGTGATAAACATTGTTAGATTTTTTTTTTTTATTTCTGTGAAATTCTTACAAAGCAAGAAAAGCTGACGGTTAAAAATGGTGTTGAAATTGATACCTGTGACTAATATAGCTATTTGGGAACAAAATTAACAACAGATGGGAGAACACGAAAGGAAATAGAACGCAGAATAAGGAAAGTAATTAGATATCTGAGCTAGATATTCTGATCCAAAGATATCTTACTTAACCCTTAAGAATAACAGCTAATGAATGCGTTGAAAGAATGCCAGAACGAAGAATGCCACAACTTGCTTTGCAATGGGTGCCAACAAAAAAGACGAATCAAGGAAGACCAAAGGTTGCCTGGATAAGCGGCATTCAGAGGGCAATGTCGGAAAGATACTTGAGACCATAAAACTGGGAGAATAGAACCGGCAGCAAGCTAAGAACCAGAAGCTGTATATATGATTGTATATGTATATGATCCTAGAAAATTTTTCTAAATATTTCTTTAAATTTTTCGAAAATTCTTTAAAATCCGTAGACATTCTTAGCAATTCATAGAAGTTATCGAAAAGACATCAACATTTAACTTTGAAATTATTAAAAATCCTCTGAAATTCCAACTTATTCTTCTTAATTCCTGGAAATTCTTGCAAATTCATTGAAGTTATTGGAAATCAATTGAAATTGCTTAGAAATTGCTAAAAATTTGTAAAATTCCCTCGAATACCTTAAATAAATGACCAAGCAAATTATTCAAATTCTTTGAAATCCTTGGAAATCAATAGTTTTCAGAAAATCTTTAATTTCAAATTCATAGAATTTCTGTGATCCGTAATTTTTTTTAAATTTTATGTTAGCTTTAAGGGGCTGTATAGAAATTGTTGATAATTTGGAAATCACTAGCATTCCTTGATATCCCCAGAATATATTTAAAATATAAATCCTTTAAAATTCAATGAAATGCATTGGAAAATTTTCTCAAAATTCTTAAACATTTCTGTATATCCAAGCAAATCTCTCAAATTCTCTGAGAATTCCTTGAAATCTACTGGAAATCTTCTCAAAGTATTAACTTATCAGATATTGAAAATCGATAAAAATTTTTCGAAAATGGTTAAAATTTTGATGGGATCTTTTGAAATTGTAAAAATTCTAAGAAAATCATTAGAAATCATCGTTATTATTGGAATATTGTAACAATCCCTAAAAATCAATAAAAATCATTGATATTACTAGAAAACCCTCGCTATTCTTGAAAAACCTTAGTAAATTTTTCAAAATTGTTAGACGTTTTTAAATATCCAAGGAAATTCTCTGAAAATTCCCTAAATCGGCTGGAAATTGTCTTAAAGCATTAAAATTTCACTAGAACCTTTTGAAATTCCTAAAAATCCTATGAAAATCCTTACATATCCCTACTTATTAGTGAAAAATTTAAATATCCCTAAAAAAATTTAGAAACCTTAAAAAGGTTAGTGCCTTAAAAGGCATTTTTAAAACATATCTGAGTAATATTATCATGAAATACTTCAAAATCAACAAAAAATTCCTAGATTTACTTTATTAATACTAGAAATGGTCGGAATAAATAAATAAATGGTTTGACATCCTACGAGAGTAAGGGAAAGAACTTCCTAAGGTTTGTTATAGTTAAATTCTTAGCTATAAATCTTAGGTCAAACTTATGAAAGACAAAATAAAGTTACAGAGTTCTCCCATTAATATCCTATTGTTAAAATTAGCCCACTAAAGCTCGGTAAAAGTATGTATCAATGGTCAATGGTAGTTAAATACACGTTAATTGTTTAAACTTTATTTGCACAAAATCACGCCAGATGTTGTTTGATAACGTTACTAGCTATTGTGAATGTTTATGATTGCTCAGAGATTTTTGCAGCAAAATCTTATTATGCTATAATCGTCCTCTAAAATTCTTAAACTTTACGAATACAATCTTAACATTATTGTTAGTAATTTTTTTATTGGCTAAACTAATTGTTGGTCCAGTATTACGCCAGAAGTTCAGGTTTGAATATATTTTAACCTGTTGAGAAAGACCATATGATGTATGTTTGAGTTTGTTTGGCGTCTTATTTTTTGATCAAGTTTGGGTACGGACTACAAAACCGATTTATTTTCACAATCGGTTCCCCATTTGTTATTCTTCATCATTGACAATAAAACTCTATCCCTCGGTTTCTTCTAAAGCATCATTAATTTCCTTTGATTTCTACCTCCTCTAAGTTTTCTCTTAGCTTTTGCCTTTTTCTTGGGGTACATGTCAAATGATACAATTTCAGTTTCTCTTTTATAAAATCGTGTGCTCTAACTTTCGCAGTATTTTCAAAACTTACCATGTTTGACAGTCTTTGATATGCTTTAGTTTTTTCATTTGATTAATAACAAACAAATTTCAAATAATATTTTAATTATTATTACTTGATTATATTATTATTATTTATTAGTGTATGCGAATAGTATAGATCACACTTTTAATAAATTACTCTAAATTAGATGTAAAACTACATAGTTAAGCAATCATTAATTATGAGAAGTTGTGAATTCAACACAAAGCTCGCCAACCGACTGACGTTTACTGGCGTGTTTAAAATAATTAATCAGACGTAGTAATGTAGTGGGAAGTTCACAAAAGCCGAACCGACCGTGAATACTATATTAATAAAGTCAAGTTAAATTACAGTCTGCACCTTCCGCCGAAATGGCGCCTGCAAAATCCATATGATTTAATACTCAAATTCAAATGTGCTCTCTCGCGGTCTTGTTAAGTATACAGTATCGTATCGTCACAATTACTTGCTAATTCAGACCGTCAATCTTCATATTTGTGTAAATCATAATAAACGATCCCACGATGGCGTCATCTTTTTTGCTTCTGATTATCGGTAATAATTGCTTTTAAAACGCTCGCGTTCCCTATTGAGAACGGAAAAATTCTTTGTTTGATCTGATTGACTATACAGTGTGTACATTTAATGGAGACCGCAAACATTGTGGTTTTCATCAAACAGTGCTATGTGGTTTGCAAGTAACTCACCTCAATTGTGATGCTGTCCAACCAATTCCCATTCACGCACAAATCGAAACTGTCGATGCCGATAAACCAATCCGGCGATGGAATTATCTTTGATATAAGGGAAACCTGCAAACAAAAACATACATGTTATTTTAATTAATCGATTTAGCACTTATTTTGATTAGTTCCGCATCGATTTTTTATCGATAAGTAGAACCACACAATAACTCAAGACTGAATGAGACATGAGGGAAAAATTAATGTCCCTAAGAGTTCCCCGCTGACAAAAAAAAATGGGGTGACCCAGAAGACAAACGTATCTATACCCTAAAAGGACCGCAATCTGTTACTCTTATCGATTTCATTAGGGCGAAGTTGTCGTCGGAGCGGTCGCCACAGAAAACATCAATTGACAATTTTCTCCTTCAAGGGGGACTAGAAATGCGTAAGAGGTTAGAAACCTAACCAATCAGGGGATTAAATCTCAAATAACGAAAATGACCCATTAAAAGTTAAATTGAGCTTACTCCCGGCGAAATTGAACGAAAACGCCTCGTGAAATGTTTAATGGGGGAATTTAAACATCTGTGTGCATCAGTATGTATAAAGGACAAACATCGCAAAATTGCTTGCGAGCTCGCCTCATCGAAACTGAAATTCGAATTGCAGAGAGAAATTGCATTTAACACGCATAAAGAACAAATTGAGTAGTAGGAAATTGCGGAATCCCTTGTAGTACTTTACCCTCTGTATTTACGAAGTACGTGTGTACAAAGCACTACAACGTGAATTGTTTCAGTAGACAAAGAGGAAGTAATGCCAAACATCTCTAGTGATAAAGTTAAAATTGATGATTAAACCCAATTTGATCTAGATTTTACTTAAAAGTTCAAAATCAGATGAAAGTGGAAATTTTTATGAAATTTAATGAAACTTTGTTTATAATAAAATTAAAAATCAACTAACACTAGACCTAGGTCTAGTATTTCTAGTGTTTCTAACATTCGAGTAAAAACCCGATACTTTCTAGTTCTACGTCTAATGTTAGTTCTAGTTTTACACTAGCACTATTACCAGTGTTGTTAAATACCCGGGTATTTATTTTCAAGGGTAAATATCCTGGATATATACCCGGGGGTATTTACCCAAGATGGGTATTTTGAGGTATTTATAAATTTAATTTAAATTGAGTTGATGGCAGATTTGCAAGCACTTCAAGAATGCAGAGTCGCTTATCGACATACATATGTGGTCAACATTGTGGCAAAGCTTAAGTGGAACTGGACGGGTCATGTCGTGCGAATGAAGAATGAGCAGTGGACAAAATGGTTGCTTGAGTGAAGACCGCGAGCGAACAGACGAAGTAGACGTCAAAAGAATGACCAACAATTGTATTCAAACAGCACAGAATAGGGAAGGTCTATGTCCAACAATGGACGCAGAGGGCTGCTTGGTGATAATAATCATAATAACTTGATCTAATCTAAATTACGACAGATTCGTCTAATGATAATACGTCTTTGATTGTTGACAATTCCTCGTCTTCAACGTCCTCATCGTCTTCCTCTTCAATTTTATTGGAATCGATATATTTTTACTGGTATCACTTTTATACCCACTGTTTGGGTATTTACCCTGGGTCGGGGTAAATACCCGGATAAATACCCATTTTAGAAATACCTACCCGCCGGGTATTTACCCAGCGCCCATCACTGACAATTACTAGAACTAACACAAGAACTAGAACTAGAATCATTCGGGTTTAGCCGTCTTACGAGACGTGTGGCTAAACCAGAATGATTCTAGTTTTAGATCTAGTGTTAGTTCTAGTATTAATTGTTATTTAGAGTTAGATTGTGATAGAACTAGAATTAACACTAGCATTAGAACTAACACTAGACCTTCTACTTTTAACTGTTATTCAGCGTTAGAATGTTGTATATTTTTCATTAAATCAAATCTAGAACTAACACTAGACCTAGAACTAGACACAATCTGATTTAGCCGTCTTAAGAGACGTTCGGCTAAACCCGAATGTTTCTAGTTCTAGGTCTAGTGAAGACGTTCAGCTAAACCCGAATGTTTCTAGTTCTAGATCTAGTGTTAGTTCTAGTGACAGTGCTAGGTAGCACTAGTTAGCATTAGACAACGCTAGGTTGTATATTTGTATTGAACTAAAACTAGAACTAACACTAGACCTAGAACTAGAAACATTCTAGATATTTTCTAGTTCTAGGTCTAATGTTAGTTCTAGTTTTACACTAGCACTACCACTAGATCTAAAACTAGAATCATTCTGGTTTAGTCGTCTTGAGAGATGTGCGGCTAAACCAGAATGTTTCTAGCTCTAGTGTTAGTTCCAGTTTTAATTGTTATATAGCGTTAGATTGTAGGAAAACTAGAATTAACAGCAACATTAGCACCAAGACTAGACTTAGAATTAGAATCATTTGGGTAGTGCGTCTTTTCAGACGGCTAAACTCGAATGTTTCTAGTTCTAGGTCTAGTCACGAATAACTAGATCTAACACTAGCATTAGAACTAATACTAGACCTAAAACCTAAAAATCTATATTTTACTAAATTAGTTAAAAGGATGGATATTTTCATGAAATTAAATGAAACTTTAGTTATAATTGAATAATATAATATGTATAGAACAACAAATTACGAAACGAATTAATACTTTGTTTTAATTGCAATTGTTTTGTATTTAAATCACCATCATATATGCACCATTTCTTGCGCTAATTGCTCATATTTCGAATGTTCGCGACTAACATCACGGCCATATAGCCAGAATTATGGGAGTTCGTGTGTCAGAATTGCGCAAGTTTCAATTGGTAGGGTCCACCGACGACGACGTCCGACTATTCGAGCAGATTTATTAAACTGAATTAATTATGCTGTTCTTAATTAAACGCTTCTCTTACTGAGCCGAGGTATGTATACCCACTTCAAAGACCTCGACTGCCAAAACCCGCCGCTCATATTTTATAACTTAATAGAAATCCTAACAATCCACGTTAAGTTTAATTTAGAAACAACATAATAAGAAAGTAGTTGTTTTATTGATTAAATTAGAAATGGAGGTAGAATCTTTTTAGTTTATTCAAAACGTAACGTGGATTGATTGGAACTCAGTCTGAGTGAGATCTGAACGAATTGGCTTAATGACACTTCAATTTTCCATTACCTTGGAGTGATTTCCATCGACGAAAAACTCCGCCTCGGTGCGTCCCACTCCTGTGGCTATTGGGGGAGCGTTGAATTCATCGTATATGCCACCTTCGCCTTGACTCTGTTCCTCTAAAAGGTCAGATCGACCTGTTTCGGCAAACGCTTTCACCCCTGGTGACGATTTCTGACCCAACTTGAAGAGGGTAAATGACTTGTCATGGCTTCTACCTAAAATTCAAATGACAAATTATTAATAATGTCTCTTTAGTAAAATAATATAGTATCACGAATGTTAAATTAGAAAGCAGTTTCAAATTATTTTTTTATACAAATAAATGCTATAAAGTTTATAATGAAGTGGATGTTTTGGAAGTTGTGTTGTGGAAGTTTACTGAAAGAGAATGTAACATCAGCATTCTGAGACATTTTCGTCTCCGAAAGTTCTATACTTTAATAATTGCAAATTCTGGCATCTTAATATATTCCTCTTAGTTTTTATTAGCGCGAGCGGCACTCGGGAAGTAAGCAAACGTTTATGGCTCGTTCATAAAACGGAAAGCGTCTCTGTTCGCCCCGAGGGAGACGAGCAACTAGTTTACGATTTTCCAACATGCAACCTGATTTACCTTATTACGTAGACTTCAGTATTTACAAAGGAACCTACGCCGCATCCCCCAGACACTAGCGTCTAACGACGTACCCAGAAATCCGTTCGCCTTTATGCCAGGCGCCGAGGACGTTACGTTTCCGTCTGCAACAGCTCGTGCGATCTAAGGGAGGTCCCGTTTAACATTACAGCTATTATTCGATACGAACGTGTTCGTACGCGTTCGCTAAGAAGCTTTCAAAGTTAGTTAATTCCGTCTTCCGGTGGCGCCCCGTTTATAACTTCCTTGTAACCTCGCGCCGCCCGTCGAATCTCATCGAAACGCGTGTAAGGGATAAAAAGGGGACTTTGCGCGAACATATGTAGAAGCTTATCCGCTCGAGCTCCATAAAAGCGGGTTCGTGCAGAAATACCAACTTCCACTTACGGCCGATACCAGTCCAAGCTTGTTCTCGACATACTCGATGCGCGATCGTGGGCTTTTGTTTCGACCGAGAAGGGCGAGTCGTGCACAAGCACGTATTCGACTGAATCAAACGCCTGATACCGTATAATCAATATTCAATTTCTGTAATGGGAAAAACGGTGCGAAATGTACCATTCGTGACCCACGGTTCTAGATAAAACATTACTCAAACCCCGAAGAATTGCTTCCGATCGTTTTTCCCATATATTAAATGTATTGGTATTACTTCTTATAACGGGGTCGTTTCATTTCTAAACTACTCTTCGATTTACATCAAACCGATATTAATGTTTTATCATGTTCTGTTTGAGAATACATTCTTATGTGGATTTAATATAACAAACAAAACGTGATTCGGAAGGTGAAATAACAAAGCCAAACAGCACGTTATTTATCAACTCAAACAATTCATTCCAGTAACGTCGTTACTTTAGGTAGGACGGACGTGGTACGTTTCGGCTAATTTTCCTTCCTCTATCAATTACGTCAACATGTTCGAGTTAGCACCGCCGTAGGGACGTACAAATGAGACGGGGTCGGTTTTGCGAGGGTTTAACCCAATTTCAGGCACCGTCCGCTATAAATATCTCTATCAGGCTTGCGGGGTGAAAACTTTAAGGGGACTTTCCCGGGTTGAATTGTTGCGTCGGCCGCGCGGCTAAATAGTGAATTAAGCGTAACCTCCATAAAATACCCGCTTGTACAACTTCCGTCTGACCACAGCCACATAACTCGCGAACAAGCTGAACAAACTTCATTCAGTTAGGTTATTTCGGGAATAGTAAGTTTTGGGTGCAGGAGGGTGTTAAGATAGCGAATACAACGCCAAGAAGCAAGCGACTTGGTTGCATATGGTTGTTCTAAATTTCTGTGTCACCGTATACTTTATCTTTAATGGTAGTAACCAAGTGTTGTGTTATATCATTTCCAAATATAATTTACTAAAACTTCTTAGTTTCAAACAAAGATTTTTGATGATGGGAATGAGTACTGAGGTGTCGTAAACAAAGATTTTATAGTTTCGATACGTGCACTTAAAATTTGATGTAAACAGGGGAACTTGGAGGCCTTCCAATTTCATCACAGAGGATTACGAAATAGAGTAATCAGATAGTAAGCATTACATCATTACTGCGGGGAACTTAAACAGAAATCTCACATCAAAGCCTCCCCGAAACCCGTGCAACAAAACACGTTTAAGCTCGGATTTATTTTTTGTTTTAAAATCCCCCTATCCGAATGGAAAAAAAGCGGAGTAATTAAAATTAAAAATTTATGATTTTCCTTTGATCTGTATGATTTGTATCCCTCGTATTTTGACGATAAAGCTTATTCGTTTATTTGTACTTTTTCAGCTAACTAAAATACAAAAATATCGAGTAATATAAAAGATGGTGCAACGCATCTCGTTCATATTCCCCAATATACGAAATTACACCCTTTGATCTCGTCGATTGTTAATTTACAAACTCCACTATATGCCACGTAGCCGGATATGGGAAACATATTTGTACTTGAATGCAAATAGTACAGGTTCAATTTATACAAATTGGCCCGCCCAGTTCTATCCTTTTTAAATGACGTTGCACTCTGGACTGACAGAAGGCAGCATGCAAGGCATCTGAATGACTGAATCCAATCAGACGAATTGAACTTCTAAATAATTCAGTCGGAGGGAAGGTTGCTGGTTGCACTTTCGGGTGCATCTCAGCGTTAAAAATACCGTTTTCGTGTGGAAGCAAGACCACACACCATTTCATTTCCAAATCGACTCGTTTTTTAATATAAAATTACATGTGCATGGTTCGATTTTATTTTTTCGATTAATTTAACTTCGATATAACGGATTAATACGGGGAAGGGAGTGGACCGTTCGTGACGTCACGCATGTGTAGGCAACTTCTTTTTCATACATTCAATTAGCAAATGCTTAATTTATTCTATTCGTGTTTTGTAACGTTGTTAGTTTGAGACTTAAAGTTCATAATAACTTTTTAAATAACATTATAAAATGAATGTTATCAATCAAACGTGTTAATTGATTGGAATAATCCCGAACGTATTGAGATATTACTGTATGTATACAGGCTTCGTTGAATGCGATTGGCTTTTGTATCTAACGTAATACGAATCGAACCGCATACAAACCCACTCACATTAGCATTTGTATTGGTGTAATCGACGGAACATCACCGGGGGCACGTTTCGTTGTAAACAGCGTTGTAAAATTATGTGTATGGACAACATAATATCAATCCTCAAACAAACACGATCGTTTCATGTTGTATAACTGGCTTCCTAACAGTTCTTAATTGATGCACATTTCACATGTTACGCATAAAATGTCAATATCTTACTGCTTCAATAAAGTTTCCGTTAACATTCAATCAGGAAGATTCACCTGATTAAAAACTTTCTTGTATTAAGCTCCAAGGATTTTGCTATAATATCCTGAAATTTCTACAACATTACAAGTACAAAGTAAATTTCATTCATATTCATAAATTTAAGAAAACGGAAATAAATTTCTTACAATTAATATTTGTATGCTAATTCTAAAGTTCCAACATAATTAAATACAACTTATTAACATTACAAATATTAATTTAAAGATAATATTATTCAATTCGAATTCTTTCGTATGATAAAAGTTTCAGTATTTAGTAGTACTAACAATGAGATGAAGATAAAAGTGTTCAACACTTGAACGATGTCTGCGGTAATAATAGCTCGGATGCAAATGCGAATACTAAAACGGTACCTCAAGCCCATTAGTCACCAATTTAATTTAAACATTCATGAGCGACCGTCTAGGTACGCGTCCCATTACATAAACCGTATTTAATCACGCGCGTCCAGGTATTGATCTGTTGGGGGATAATTTGCAACCGTAGTGACGATTTAATCTGCACTAATAGAAACTACGACTACCTACTATAAACTGCTGCTGGGGGAAACTCTGATATACAAAAACTAATGCCGGAGGTTGCTCGTAAACTAGATACTAGCTCGAAAATTAGAGAGGCTGAATTCGAATGTTAATTATTCCTAAATGGGGAAGTAATTTATTCTAGTGTTGTAGTTCAAAGCAAAAATATGGGAAATGTTTCTAGTCTGTAAAAATTTTAACTCATTTTACTGGATTACTTATTCAATCAATGTGGTTTAAAATAAATTAACACCACCAAACAAATTCCCCCTCTTCGAAAATATTCCAAACTATTGGACAAAGAGAAATATTGAACATTTTAGATATTAAAAGTTTAGAGCATGTTAAAAGCAAAAAATATAGAAAGAAATTTATAATTAACACGATATATTTTTTGGGAAAATAAAATATTTCGCTGCGTGTCCACAGAGTTGATTTTGACGTTATAAAATCTTCAAACGTTAACGAAGGCAATTCACGTAATTGCCACCGGATTGAAACGTGTCGAGGCGATTTAATTTTGAAAAATCACTCTCTAACATAAATTCTACACTACAATTCAAAGTTATAGACATTATTAAATATTTGACTTTATAAGAGATATTACCAACGTTTTGCGAATGGCTTTAATTCTATGATATGTTTATGAAAAATATAAAATACGTAATAATATAAATCAGAAATAGTCACATATACGTACAATATAATGTTATCTGATAAGAAAGGGGTGTTACAGAAATTCAAGAAAAATCTTTCAATACCCAAACCCAGCAATGTTCATGACATAAGAAACGCCATGGAACGATTAAAGAAATTGTTGTATTTTTCAATTTTCAGGTAAGAAGAATAAATTTTACCAATATTAATTAAAAAATCCATTAGACCACTATGAATAAAATTTAATAACAGTTTCGACTATACTATATATATATATAGTCATCTTCAGAAGCGTCGTCGTCTTGTTATAAGTGACGTAAAAATAAAAATATGTTATAAACTTGTCGCAAAATCACCAAATGAAACACATCATGACGACGCTTCTGAAGCTGACTATATAGTCGAAGCATGTAAAGCGAATTTTTTAGTAATAAACCAGTAGAAAGTACAAAATTTCAGTTATTAAAAAAGTTTTATTAAATTCCAAAAAGAATAAAGTTATTAAATTTATTAATTCCGAGCGTGAGAGGCCGTGGAAAACTCAACCAGTAAACTACAATCTGCTCGTA